CCTGGGGGGAATCTTGTCAACAAGACTGTATGGCTCATGTACGTCCTGTTTGTTTAAACCACTCTCGGTTTCTGTTCCTTCTGTTTATGCAGACCTTGCCTTGGTTTTTGAAAAGAGGGAGGCAGATAAGCTACCTCCACATCGTGAGTATGATTGTGCCATAAACCTCTTACCGGGTACTATGCCTCCTAGGGGAAAGGTCTACCCTCTTTCTGAAAAAGAAAACCAGATCATGGAGGAGTACATACGGGAATCCCTAAGAAAAGGTTTTATTAGAAGGTCCTCCTCTCCTGCTGGTGCTGGTTTCTTTTTTGTGGCAAAGAAGGAGGGCGATTTGAGGCCATGTATAGACTACAGGGGTCTGAACAATATAACGGTTAAAAACGCCTACCCTATCCCCCTCATCACTGAGTTGTTTGATCGTGTTAAAGGTTCTAAATTCTTCACCAAATTAGACCTCAGGGGGGCTTATAACCTTGTCCGTATAAAGGAGAATGACGAGTGGAAGACAGCGTTCAACACACGCAGTGGGCATTACGAATATCTGGTCATGCCTTTTGGACTGTGTAATGCTCCTGCCGTGTTTCAGGACCTCATAAATGATGTCCTTAGGGATCTATTGCATGTCTGTGCTGTGGTGTACCTTGACGACATACTTGTGTATTCTCCTGATTTGAAGTCACACCATAACCATGTTAGGATGGTGTTCAAAAGGCTATTGCAGAACGGACTCTACTGTAAGTTAGAAAAATGTTTATTCAATCAGACCTCTGTGCAATTCCTAGGATATATCATTACTGAACAGGGTTTCAGTATGGATCCTGCTAAATTGGAAGCTATACTGTCCTGGCCACTTCCCCAAGGACTGAAGGCTATCCAGTGTTTTATAGGATTTGCCAACTATTATAGGAAATTTATAAAAAACTTTTCACCACTTATCTCTCCTATAACGAAGCTGACAAAAAAAGGTCTACACCCTATGGTTTGGACTCCTGAAGCCCTTAGGGCCTTCGAAACCCTCAAGAAGGCATTTGCCTCTGCTCCAGTGCTGCACCACCCTGATCCTTCTCTTCCCTTTGTTATGGAAGTAGACGCTTCAGAGTCAGGTGTGGGAGCCGTACTGTCACAGAGGTTGTCGTATGACAAACCCCTCCATCCCTGTTGTTAGTTTTCTAAAAGGTTGTCTGATTCAGAGAAGAATTACGATGTTGGGAACAGGGAACTATTAGCTATTGTGTTAGCTTTTAAGGAATGGAGGTACTTATTAGAGGGTTCTAGACACAAAATTATGGTTATAACAGATCATAAAAACCTATCCTATATAGCTGATGCCAGAAGGTTATCTACCCGGCAGGCTAGATGGTCTCTATTTCTCTCACGCTTCCAATATGTTATTACCTATAGACCTGGTTGCCGTAATGCCAAAGCTGACGCTATCTCTCGGCAGCATGAACCAGTAGAATTTGTTAACCCGACTCCTGAGCCTATTGTACCTGCGTCTCAGATAATAGCTGCTACCCGTTTGGTTGTTTCTTCACCTTTCTTTGATAGTATTAAGACATACCAAACCCAGGCACCCCCTGAGACGCCGGATGGTAAACTATACGTTGAAGCAAATGACAGAAAAAAGTTGTTAACTTTATTTCACACAGCCAAAACTGCTGGTCATCCGGGGGTTACCAAAACCTACAAGGGCCTCCTTCAACAGTTCTGGTGGCCTTCACTCAAGCGAGACGTAGTGGATTTTGTTCAGGCTTGTCGGGTCTGTACGCAGTGTAAGTCTCCTAATATGAGACCCCAGGGTCTACTGATGCCTCTATCTGTACCTAAGAAACCATGGACCCACTTGTCCATGGATTTTATTGTAGACCTTCCTCCTTCTGATGGTCAGACGGTGATATTGACTGTGACGGATAGGTTCTCTAAAATGGCACACTTTATTCCGCTTAAGAAACTGCCTTCTGCGATTCAGCTTGCTCAGGTGTTTGCCAAGGAAGTGTTCCGCTTACATGGGGTACCTCAGGATATCGTTTCTGACAGGGGCCCTCAATTTGTCTCTCGGTTTTGGAGGGGCTTTTGTGCTGAGATGGGGGTCTCCTTGTCGTTATCTTCCTCCTATCACCCGCAATCTAATGGTGCGGCCGAACGTGCTAATCAGTCTGTGGAATTGTATTTGCGCTGCTTCACTAATGCGCACCAGGATGACTGGTCTCGCCTTCTTCCGTGGGCTGAATTTGCCAGGAATACGGTGTCTTATTCGTCTACTGGCTTAAGTCCTTTTGAGGTTGCTTATGGGTTTCATCCTTCTGTCCTTCCCGGTGCGTTCTCCGACAAGGGAATGCCCGCCTTGGACCAGCACCTCGCCTCTGTGCGGAAGACATGGGATCAGGTCCATGTTGCGCTGTCTCGTTCAGCAGCTGCTCAGAAAAAGTTTGCTGATCGCCGTAGGGTTGCGGCCCCTTCTTATGTTCCGGGTGATAGGGTATGATTGTCCTCCAGGAACCTCCGTCTCAAGGTTCCCTCGATGAAATTTGACCCCAGGTTTCTTGGTCCCTACAAGGTGTTACGTAGGGTTAACCCCGTTTCCTACTCCCTTGATCTGCCTCCTTCCATGCGTGTCCTGAACACATTTCACGTCTCGCTTTTGAAGCCCTTGCTGTGTAACCGGTTCTCTCGTCCCCTCGGGCTGCCCGTTTCCCCTCGCGCTGTCTCTGACGACGTATACGAGGTGGCCGCTCTTCTCGACTCTCGCGTTTCTAGGGGCCGGCTGCAATATTTGGTGGATTGGAAGGGGTACGGTCCTGAGGAGCGGTCCTGGGTTTCGAGCTCTGATGTGCACGCTCCCTCTTTGGTCCGCTCCTTTCATGCCCGGTTTCCTTTGAAGCCTTCCGCTTCCCGCCCTCCGGGCGGTCTTCGAGGGAGGGGTAATGTCGGGATCCCGCGGGCGGCTGCGAGGGGAGGCTGCACTCCGCTCGCGGTACTCACCCTCCAGCCGTCCGCGGTCCCCTCCTCCTCCTGGGTCCGGCGAGCGGCATCCTTCCAGCCTCGGATGCCGCCCGCCGTTTCCTCCACGTCCCCCAGCGGCAGCATACATGACGCTGCACGCTGGGAGACCGCCCAAGTTATTACACGCCGGGGTCAGTCACTTACCTTGTGTTTCTGGTTACGTACTCTCTGGCTTGTTTATCTGACTCTGTGACTTTCTCCTACCCTTTGACCTCGGCTCGTTTCACGTTATTCTGTCTTCTGGTTCTCCTTACTCGGCTTGTTTCCTGACTATTCTGTGTGTGCTTAGCCCGGCCACTCTAAGGTCCGGTACGGCACCTTTTGTGTGTGTGTGTGTGTGTGTGCCAGCGTGTTGGGTTCCCCGAATCGTGACAGGGAGAAGGAAATTGGAGGGGGAGAAGGAAATTGACGGGGGGAGGGGGAGAGATTGACATCCATCACACACACAATGCACCCCTTGCACACAGAAAAACACACAATGCATTACATACAGACACACATACACAAGCAATGCATCCCTTACACACAGCAACACACAATGCACCCCTTACACACACTCAATGCATCCCTTACAGATGCACACACTGCATACCATACATACACAAACTCACCTTGCAGCCCTTACACATACAAACACAGATTCACACAATGCATTCCTTACACACATCAGGACATCCCCCACACACACACTCCACCCCCTGTGAACAAACTCATTGGTGGAACATGAAGGTGGACCCTGGGACCCAGACCTTGAGCTGTGTAAAGGGCCCTCAAAAAAATGGAGCTGCTTCCCGTTGATCCCAGAACATTGATTTTTGTGACCACAGTAACAAACCGCCTCCAGAGAGCCTGTTCTACACCAGACCAGTGGAGCCAGACGGCAGCTAGAGCCCATCATCATCCTCATCTGGTTGTAAGTAGGCAATCTAGTATATTATTTGTGGCACTAATCTCTAATTTACCTCACATTAAAGGGACACTTTAGTCCCCAGAACCACTACAACTTAATGTAGTGGTTCTGGTGTCTAGCCTGTCCCTGCAGGCCTTTTAATGTAAACACGGCAGCACTGCAGCACTGGTGTTAGTTAACATGGCAGATCATATGGGTGGGGCATTGTAATGTCACATTGTAATGTCACATGTCACATGTCACATTCTCGAGGGGGGGGAGCACCACTTTGGGCGGACTCGGGTGCAGGCACCGGGGGGCCCAGACCTTGAGCTGTGTCAGGGGCCCCAAAATTTCTGATGGCAGCCCTGCCACTGAGCGCCTAGGTCATGCGGCGGGCCTTCTGGCATCTCTGAGGCTGGCCGGGGGGTCTGCACCCCCCTGGGGGCTCCTGTGGTGGGGGTCCTCGGGGTGCCCTTGCGGTCCTCCCCCCTCCCCTTTTCTCTCCCTCCCTCATGGCTCAACACCCCGTCTAATCTCTTCTCTCCTCTCTTCTACTCTGTTCTTTCCACTCACACTCTGCTCCTTTTCGCCACCATGACCCTCTCCTATAGGGTGTGGTGCCGAATTTGTATAGGTACAGTTATCTATGCATTCGAATTAAGAGATGGAACACACTACGTTATACCTACGATGTTGACTAAGTTATCGTTGTATCTAGCTTAAAGTTAAAAACCATGGTCAAATGTGCACATGTATCATGCCAATACAGGGATGTCCCTGTACTATGCTGAGGTATGCAAAGAATTTGCTTTGGCTATGTCAGATTGTGAATATGTACTGCACAACAAAAATAAAGAATAAAAAAAAGAAAAGAAGAACAAGTAGGAAATATATAATTAACTATGACACGTGTATTCTGTTTTGAGGTATGTAGAGAGGGATCTCTTAAAGGACTTTAGGCTTGGGGAAGAATTGAACGTGTGCAGGAGGTCGCTCCCTAATTTTATCACATGACAGGAGGCTTCATATTTTGCATAACTTTCTTTACTTTATGCCTCTAGCAGCACAAGTCAATCAATAAACTTTAAACCAATCAGTAACAGGCATCACATCCATATATAAAGCCCTGACGGACACATGACTTCCTCTTTCTTTGCTGCTTACCAGCCAAGGCACAGGTCAGAGTATTTTGCTCCAAACTGTTTTACTGATATTGCAATTGTCATTAGTTAACCATTTATTGCTTAACTTTCAGTTTGCTCCAAACTGTTTTTATTAATATTGTTCAGTTTTAATCCTAACTGGTTTTCAGGATACCACTTTAATTAAAATGGATTACTTGACTTTCAGTTTGCTCCAACTGTTTTTATTAATATTGCTATGGTAACTTTAGTTAGATTTTTAATGCTAGACATTCAGTTTTTGCTCCAAACTGTTAACCTGTATTTTCTGCTTTATTAGCCTGTTTTCTGTTGCTGGCACCTTTTCTTTCCTATGCTTTACACTGGTCTCGCACGGATCGCAGCGTTTTACCGCGAGGACGCTTTTTATTCATTGGTGCTGGGACTTCAGGGGGTTGGGGGTGTCGGGGGGACTCTTTTCCATGCCGGCAGACCGCGATTGTATCCTTGATCGTGGGCCGCACGGCACTTTTGCGCGTGAACGGCGGACATCTTGAATCTCGTGGCACTCGCGAGATTCACGTCGGCCATGTCGTTTGGCCAGTTCGTGATTCACACAAACTGGCGGCTAGTTCTGTACTGTTTCATATATTTTTTCCTGTGAAATAAAAGTTTTACAAGTACTTTTGAGCTCTATACTGTTCATGTGCATGTGGAATAAAGGTTTTATATGTACCTTTCCTGGAAGATTATGAATGGACTGTTCACTGCTGAGCTCTATACTGGCATATTTCATTGGCATGTGAAATAAAAGTTTTATATGTAACTCTGCATGAATATGTAGGACTGATCCCTGCTGTGTGCATCTGCTGACAGTTTGCTCTATTCTGTTCTATACAATTGAGATGTTGAATAACAGTTTTATTGTACATCTGGAGGATTATGAATGGACTGTCCCCTGCTGTGGACATATAGTGGATGCATTACTCTATCTACTGGCAGGGAAATTAAATAGAGCTGATAACTTACTCAGCTCCCTACTCCCACTGGACCTCACAACCATTGGATACACTCCTTCCCCACAGGGATACACCTCCCAGGACACAGTAGTGGAGTCACATAACAGAGTGATTAACAGGGGTGACCCCCCCTTATGCTGGGTGACCCCCAAGCGTGGCAGACACCTCTCCAAAGAGACATTGTGGTACAGGGGTGACCCCCCTTACGCTGGGTGACCCCCAAGCGAATCTGGTTCCTGTCCTAGTGACATACATATACTGGGGTGATCCCCCTATGCTGGGTGAACCCCAAGCGAATATTATTCCGGTACTAGTGACATACATATACTGGGGGGAACCCCCACGCCCTAGGACGGGCTCATATCCACGGAGTACGATCTGTTACTGTATGCACAGACCAGGTCACACTGGATACATGTATATCGACAGAGCCAGGAAGGAGAGCTCACGGTGCTGCCAATTCTCCACAGTACTATATCCTATAAGGGTGACCCCTTGGATAATTTGGAGGCTACCATACCTCCCCACGGGCTACGTCCTGACATTACTGACTGCTCATCCCGGTCTTATTGAGGGTGGCCCCCTCCTCAGACCACTCCCAGGAAATCTCTAAGTGGTACTAATTGAAACAATTCTGGGTGACCCCCAGTCGTACGTGGAGGCCCACTAAGTGGCAATAAGTGTACTACCGTACCTGACACCTGTTCGGTACCCCATATACCGAAAGAGTGTCCCAACATGCCATAAGAGACATTCATACAGGGGTGACCCCCCCTATGCTGGGTGAACCCCAAGCGAGTCTTATTCCGGCATAGTGGCATAGGTACAAAGGGGTGACCCCCTGCGCCCTTTCTAGGGCTTCTACCTTCAGAGTACGCTCTGTCATTGTATGCACAGACCAGGGCGCACTAGATGCATGTATTCCGGCACCTCTATGCTTCAACTGGGGTTCCGTACGCCCTTCCCTTAACCGAGAAGGAGAACTCACAGTGCTGCCAAAACTCCACAATTCTAGACCATATAAGGATGAACTCCGGACTATACATATTGAGGCTTTCACGTCTCCCAGACTCGGGCTACGTCCCGACATTGCAGACCGCTCATCCCGGTCTTACTGAGGGTGTCCTCATTCTCAGACCACTCCCCGGATCTTGCAAAAATGATACTGATTGATCAAAATTCTGGGTGACCCCAGTTATACGCGGAGGCCCACTGAGTGGCAATAAGTGTACTGTTGTACGATCCTGTCTCCCACAGACTGAAAGGGTGTGAACCAACATGTCGGACTTCCCTCAATATCTCCGACCGATTTTCAGGCGAGGATTAAGGCCGCCATGACAGCTCCGGGGGAAGAAGTCCTCTCCAGTATGCTGGCTAACAACCCATCCGACAGAGCGGGTGCAACACCAATGGAAGATTGAGATACCGACAACGTTAGGTCGGACACCCATCATCAGGGGACGAGGACTTCATCCTCCCCCCCCTTCTCTGGAGATCATGAAAGAATGGAGGGCAGAAGAGGTAAAAGTACTGCTTCCGGGTCGGGAGGCAGGGGGAGGGATCTGTGAAGCAGCTCCCCTGTCCTCCCACTCGATCATGTGTGGAGAGTTGCCATGGTAACGCACAGCAATGCTCCACACAGATTGCTTGCGGGAGGACAGGGGAGCTGCTTCACAGATCCCTCCCCCTGCCTCCCGACATGGAAGCAGAGTAGGCGCCTGCCGTTTTGGGCAGGCAGGTGCCTACTCTGCATTGATGGCGAACCTATGGCCGCGTGCCCACAGAGAGGGCCCGGCGTGCCATAGGTTCGCCATCACTGCTATAGACTGTTAGCTTGTTTGAGCAGGGTCCTCTTCAACCTCGTACTGTTCCTGTAAGTTTTCTTGTAATTGTCCTATTTATAGTTAAATCATAATATTGTAACGTGCTACAGAATCTGTTGGCGCTATATAAATGGCAATAATAATAATAAAAGTGATTAATGTTGCTTTTTATTATGAGTAGATTATGTCAAAGCAAAATGAAGATAGCAATTTCATTGTATGAACAAAAAAAATACTATTGATATATGTAGAAATACTTTAGTATGAATGTGAATTTAGCAATTTTGCCTAAATGCTATAAAGGATTTCCATCATCAACATCTTTTTAGAGTTTTGTAGCCAAACTTTCTCCAATGTCTATAAAGTTCTCTGAGGTCAAAAGAAAAACAGACAGTAAACTGTACCTGCAGAATAACCTTAAGAACATAAGCAAGGTGATAAGCTGATAAAAAAAATTAAAGGAATACTCCAAGCACCATTACCAATACAGCCTTTGCCCATGGAATTATATTGAGTTTGACAATGTACCTGAGTCCTGCTGCATTCCCTGCATCATCTTCTCCTGCAAAAGAAAACAGATTTCTCTATAGAGCCAAGCAGGCTCATGCAGGGCCACACTTGTTAAAATAGAGTGCTTCAACCTATGAGCCTGGTCATGCATTGTCCGTGCTTACTCTAAAAAAAAAACCCATAAAATTATATGTCCTGCAGAAGACCGGATGCAGGGGATGTGATGTTAATAAGGGACCCAGGTAAGTTGTCATACCCGCTAAAACAGCTTACCATGGGATGGCGTCAGGGTACTCTCTGCTCCATTACTACTAAAGTAGGCTATAGTGGTTATGGTACTTGGAATATTCCTTTAAAGTTTTGCATTGCTTAGTAATATTTCTTACGTAATCATTAGCTAATTTATATAGCAAGTTTGTCCATATATATAGGTAGTAAAACAGTTTAAGAATTATTATTATTATTTTACAAATTAAAATTATCCAGGCCCAAGTTATTCAGTTAATGTATTTGTGGAGCCATTCAATCATGTCTTTTCTTGCTTCTTCAATATAAGGTTTGTCCTCTGGGTTGATCTCTTCTTTCTTTCTGTGTACAAATCCATGTGTCTGTTTTGGAAACACCTTCACCTCATAATCAAACTTAGCATGTTCTTTTAATTTCTCCTTTAGCACATTTACCTGAAACACAGTTAACACATATACACTTGTTAAACTTCAACAACTGCTTACGCTGTGCAATACTACAGTGATCACATATGTGTCATCTATATTTAAAGTCATGCAAATTACATATGTAAACACACACATACAAATACTATGGAATACAAATAGGACAAGGATCAAGCTTGTATCACTAAAACATAAACATAAAATACAACATAGCATAATATGGTTATAGCCTTATTGATCACCCAACGCTTCAAGGTTACACTTGTAGATTGGTTGTAAAAAGTAAGTCTTCAGGGTGCCCCCCACCCCTATGGTTAGGGGGGTATATCCCGCTTTTGGTAGAAGCTCCGCACTGGAAACCAGGAAGTTCACACACTCCAAATGGTTGGATGTAGAAAAAGATTCATTTATTGGCATATTTAAAATAATATAAAAAAATAGCAGTCCTACACGTTTCGTTCCCTTTAGGAAACTTCCTCAGGGACCAATATTAAAATACATGCAATAAAATAAACTGAAAATGCTATCAAGTGTACCAATAAGCCTACTTCTTCCCTCCCCTTAAATACGGTGGATGCTGGAAGTCCATTGGTGGTGTGGTAGGCGTTCTCTCCTGTTCCTCTGTGATTGGACTCCTTGTCCATCGGTAAGTTACCTCTGTTTGTTGTCTCTGCTGATTGTATTTGCCAATCCATCTCTCCTCGAGGACTCACTTCCGGTGAGAATGGACGTCCCCTTTTGATGACGCACTTCCGTGCGTTCCACCAGTTCTTTGGATTAAAGATGGCCGTGCGTTCCATTATGGTCTATTATCAACGTTCATTTCATTGCCATCTGGTGGTCGCCAGAGATATTGTAGTAGTTCATGGCACTTAGTGCAATTTAATCAGTGGTTTCAATTTATATAGGGGAATAGAAAACACACAATATATTGGTCGTACCAAAAGAGCCTTTAAGATTAGATTAATGGAACAGATCAATAATATTAAAAAAGGATTAATGTCCCACTTGGTACCAGTACATTGTAAGTCATGTCCAATATTTAACTTTAGGGAACTAACCTGTGTAGCCATAGAGAGAATTTCTCCACATTGGAGGGGGGTGATAGAGATCAAAAACTGGCCCAGAGAGAAACATTCTGGATTCATAAATTACAAACCTTAACCCCCACAGGGTTAAATGTCGACATCGATCTGGTATGTTTCTTGAACTAACTAGGTAGGTAGGAGATTCCCTGAATTTTTGATCAAATGGAGGTAAAACTGCAAAAATAATGAGTGGGAATAAGATTTTAAATACATTTGTCTTTATTTATATATATAAAAAAAAATAAACAATATGTAGCACATTTATCTAAATGAAAAACCTAAATATTTTATGTAAGAATTTATATGTAAGGAATTCCCCCTTTTTTAAAGTAATTAGAATCAAATGAGTTTAGCCTTATTCACAAAGTAAAGTTAATATATGCATAACATGATGCCCTGAAATAAACACCAATATGCAATGTCCATATAATTTTAAAGGATTTGTTTTGAAGGTAATGGTAGGAATAGGAAAGAAATTTTCATCAAATATAAAATAATATAGAATAAAAAAAAAAAAATGGCTCTATGATAGTCTAAATGGATAATTGCATGTTGATGAATACAATGGGAATGAAATTTTAATATTTAATTTCATTATAAATGTGTAGAACCAACTATTGTGTGTTTTCTATTCCCCTATATAAATTGAAACCACTGAAGTGCGTCATCAATAGGGACGTCTATTCTCACCGGAAGTGAGTCATCAAGGAGAGACATCCACTTTTTGCCGCGGTTAACTGATCAGCAAATACAATCAGCAGAGACAACACACAGAGGTAACTTACCGAAGGACAAGGAGTTCAATCACAGAGGAACGGGAGAAAATGCCCACCACACCACCAATTGACTTCCAGCATCCACCGTATTTAAGGGAAGGGAGGAAGTAGACTTATTGGTACACTTGATAGCATTTTCAGTGTATGTTATTGCATGTATTTTAATATTGGTCCCTGAGGAAGTTTCCTAAAGGGAACGAAACACGTAGGACTGCTTATTTTAAATATTATTTGCCAATAAATTAATCTTTTCCTACATCCAACCATTTGGAGTGTGTGAACTTCCAGGTTTACAGAGCAGAGCTACTACCAACAGCAGGATATACCCCCCTAACCATATTGGAGGCACCCTGAAGGCTTACTTTTTACAACCAATCTGTGAGTGTAACCTTGAAGCGTTGGGCGATCAATAAGGCTATAACAATATTACGCTATGTTGTATTTTATGTTATGTTTTAGTGATACAAGCTGGATCCCTGTCCTATTTGTATACCATAATATCTTGTATATAGTTACCATTTTTTGGGAGGTAACTTGAGGGAAGCAAGTACCCAAAAAGTTAAGTTAATTTCTGTATTTCCACGGGTGATTAGGTGGAAGTGGTATTGCACACATATAAATACATTTAATAGAATATTGGTAATTTGTAAACTAATCATCAGCAGAGCTATGCACATTTTGTAATTTAAAAAAACATCTTTATTTTGATTGTGCATAATAATCATATAATCCATGTTGAAGCTGCCGTTTGCGGGAAGTTCGCGAATGGTTCGCGACATCTCTACTAGTGATTAATGAGATCCTTGAGGTTGATGCTGCGAGACTAAATATTTGATATCTGGTTCGATTTTCGTAAGGAACAAACAAAGGTCTCCTCTTTCGGTAATATTCAGACCACTTCTCTGTTTGCGCATAATATGATTTCTCATCTGTGCGTCAGCTCCCCTCCTCTCCCTCCTCAATTCCCCTCCCCACCTTTTTTTTTCCTTTTTCTATTTTTTAACCTTCCTTATAGCAATGCCCAGTAGGAAGGCTGAGCTAGGTAGCCCACTTACTATAGCCCACTATAACAGACAGGCACGCATACATACATACAGACACACACAGACATACAAAGAGACAGGCATACATACAGCCACACATACAGACACACACACACACACACACACACATACAGGCAGGCAGGCAGGCAGGCAGGCACACATACATAACACACACACAGACACACACACACACACACACACACAGACATACAGACACACACACACACACAGACATACAGACACACACACACACACAACACATACAAAGACAAGACACACATACAAGACATAGATACAGAGACACATACATAAGACACACACACATACAAAGACTCAGCCACACACACATACATGACACACAAGACATACATACAAAGACACATACGCACAAACAAACACACACAAAATATTTTAGTCACCCTCCTGTTTCCTACCTTTGCAGGAGGGTGACATTCCAGTGGTGGCTCAAGTGGATGGGAGTCAGAGTTCCTACTCTGACTCCCTAGTCTTTCTCCCGCGCGGTCTGTTTGTTAGCTGGGAGGAGTGATGTGCAGTCACTTCCTCCGAACTCTGTGATGTAATCACAGGGGGACCGGTCGCACTGTTAAAGCACCCAGCGGTGACCGGGCCCCCTTACAATCCACATCCATCAGGTGGCTCCGACAGCTTGGACGGCGGCCGGGGCCGCAAATGGTGATGGCGGTACCGCTGGCTCGCACTTGCAATCTCTCAAAATGAGGAAGTCCCTACCGCCCACCTGGATCCTGAAACGCCCACTAGTGGGTGGTAGGGACCAGGTTGGCGACCCATGATCTAAGACATAGCTATCAATGTGTCACATTTTGTAAATGTAAGCTACATAGTTAAACATTTAAAAGTGGCATTCAATTCTATGCATTAGAGACAGACTTACTAACTACTAACAACTATTGCAAAATAGAAGTTTCTATTTTAACATATATAGAATAACATAGTTAACACATAGTTAATAACTATAATAATATAGAACAGATGGTGCTACTGTTATCTAACGGAACACTATATGTAATGGTATTTATTAATTAACGACTTTACATCATAAAGAAAGCATATTTAGTGTAATGCTTTGGGGGCACCACTAGGGGGAGTGTGTGTGTATATACACACACACACACACACACACACACACACACACACAGACACACACAGACATGTAAACACATTCCTTCAGCTTTTCATTTTAGAAACAATTTTTTTCAACAAGATAACTTTCTTAATTTTTTTTGGTTTTTTTTTAAGGCTCTTAAAAAACAATAAGCTAATAGCTGCTTTCTGCATCTTCTCTGCAATTCAGGAAACACATTTCTAGCCAACCTAAACATGTTTAATAACTCTCCACCCTTTGGTTAAATTATAGAGGAGTGAACCACAACACCTCTTCCGGCTCTGAAAGGATATAGGTCAATATGTCTCAAAGTTCATGACTTCTGACAGCTATGAGTGACTCCCTATTAATTTCTAGCCTTTCCACGGACATGCTTGCACCTCGCGGCTAAGGGCCTGCACAACTAACCACCCTGTGATGGCAGTGGCTTTCCGCATGGGGAATATTTGCAGTATACGCTATAAGTGACTAGGAAAGTAATCCTGATCTGTTTCCTAACCTTTTCAGATGTAGCAGAAACCAGGAGGTGGACATTGGAACACAGATAGAATATCAGATGGAGACCAGTGTTTAAATGTTGACCTTTGATGAGCTATTGAATGTTTTATTTTATTGTCTATTTAACATGTCTATGCTATGATTTTGTGCATACTATTCTCTTATTTCTAGTGATTGTATTGCAATTGAAACCCTTATGTATTATGTTGTATGTATGTATGCTTGCCTGGGAAAGGGGGGAATTGACCCATAGGGACCAGGGGGTATTTTTGTGTAAACCAAACTGGGGTGGGAGGGCTCTAACGAGGGAACCCCATTGTCCAGTAGGTGCTTGATTTGTGTCTGTGTAAAGTGCATGAGTGGTTGCAGTTAAAAAAAAAAAAAAAAAAACGGAAGAATGATAAGAGGGATAAGAGAAAGTAGGCATTTTGGGTTATCTATACATGTTTAAATAGAAGGGTGGTAAATAGGAATGTAATTGTTTTGGTTAATGTTTAGATTAAATTGGTTAAATACAGCAGTGATAAAGAGTGTTTAGATTAAATTGGTAAATGCAGCAGTAATTATAATAATAATTGGTAGATACAGCAGTGATATTGTGTTTATCTGTGAATCAGGAGTGTGCTGGATGTGAAGAGAGGTGTGTAGGTATTTATTCAAACGCCATAGGAAAAAATATGGTTAAGACACCACAATCAAATGGTACTTGTGATGATTGGCACAGTTATTATTTATGTTTGTGTTCGTCATTGCCTGTGTTTTCATTCAAGAACTTTCAAGCAAGGATATTTTAAGCAGAAGAAGAAGCACTGGACACTATGCTCAACTGTTGCTGTAAGGAGAAAAAAATATTGCAGCTAAGAGTGGTGAGAGTCGGAACAAAATGCATCAGGAGCAGGAAACTGTTACGTCAAGGTGGTTAATGGTATAAAGAAAGAAAAAACAAAACAATGTGACAACACACAAAAGTCCTTGATCACATGAACTGTTTCATTCATCCCTGTCTCCATGCGTATGTTCTATGAGACTGTTGAAGAATAGAGTATCCAGTTTCCAGGACTAATGTTTGTGAAAATTCCAGGCACACAGACCAGCCAGAGGCTACAGAAATCGAGTCGGTCTGTGCCATGATTCATAGGTGTTTTACTTGGTCAATGCAGCAGAAGCTCCTCTAGTAGTTGTCATATTGACAACCACCAGAGGTGGACCAGAAGTGGACTTAACCCTGCACTGTAAACATTTCTAAGTTTCTAAAAAACTGCAATGTTTTACACTGCAGGGTTAAAAGGAGAAGGTAACTGCACCAAGGCCACTTCATTAAGAAAAAGTGATCAGGGTGACTATAGTGTCCATTTAATGAATTGTGTATTTTATGCTGTTAAAACATCAATGAATGGTTTGCGTACCAATTACATAGCCCTTAATATGTAGAACGGTGTTATTATGCTCTTGCTTTCACAGGCATCAAATGAGACACAAACAATGGTAAGCATACACTTGTAACACGACATATATTAGGAAAAAGCTGTAAATGCCTTAAAAGGGACTCAATTAAATTATTAAATAAATCAAATAATTATTGCTCTTCTGACATGGGCAAAGCTTTGCAACAGTAAGAAGGATATTCACTAAAGTGAGAGTTCAAAGTGAATTTCAAATTTTAGGCCAAAATAGCTGAACTAGAAGCATAGCTTGCTTAGAGATTTTTTCCAGTTTAGCTATTTTGATCTTAAATTTGAAATACACTTTAAATTATCACTTTAGTAAATAACCCTGTAGGTTATTGAATGAATCTAGAGAATATGCTGCCTGTCTATGATAAAGAAAAAAATGAGCCATATAGTAAAGGTTTAAAGGGACATGCATCACTTTGAGACAACCATCTCATTTGCAGGCTGAAAAATGCAAATAAATATGATTTTTTTTGTTCCATACTTCTTTTCTTCTTTCTTATGCTTTCCACAATTATTGATCTAACCAATCAGTGTCCTATACCTAGGAATGTTGAAAAGGTGGATTGGGCATGCCTAACAACTACATGTGCAGTTGGAAGCTTCTGACAGGGGTAGAAGCAAGGGAGTCCAATTGGTGCGATTCATGCAGAGCAGACTCCAGTGCTGGGTTTTTCTCTGCTGCGGTTACACAATTAAGCCCTGTGCACTGGTCTGAAATGGAGATTTCCTTGGAGGCATGTTCAAGAATTAAATTTGAACACATTTACAATAAAAAGTAGTTATTAAGGTTTGTTTTATTTTGGTTTATATATTTGTTTAAAAAAAATAAGTGGGATGGGATGCTGCTTTCTGCCTTCTACGCAGCCTGCAACTGGAATCTCTATGCCTGCAATTAGCCCTGCGGTGCATGGCCTGCGTCATTGGTTACAGCAAGGCTTAGCTCCTGCAGTGAGCGGTACTTAGCTAAGGATAGCTTATGACCGCTCCTAGCAGGAGACGAGGTGGGTAGCAGCTCCTGATGGTCCATAGGTGAGAAGTAAACTGTTACTGTTTTTTTTTCCCTAACATTTTCAATAATTCCTTATTTTTAAATTACATGGCACGACTCGCTGTCCAGGCTCAGTCAAATCTTGTCTAGCACAAGATAGGCTAAATAGCAAAATAATAAAAAATAATTGTACAAAAATGCAAACAACATTTATTAAAGACCATGAAAATAAAAACTAATATTTGCTACCTGATCAAGGGGAATGACGGAATCAATTTCTCCAAAAATAAATAACGTTGGGTTTTGCAAATTATAGTGATCTTCTGCATCACGCATTATACCTATAGTAAAAACAGTTCAACATATATTTATTTTACTTGATGGAAACATTTGTTTTTAAACAATATAAAAACGATATATGTTAATTCAATGTCACCATTAAACCACATTATGATTTCATAGTTATGTATGAGTGAGAGTGTGCAGCTGTACTTACTAATGTTATATGATTGTGATTAGATAGGTATATGGCTAATCAATTTAAAAAAAAAAAAAATAAGTTAAAAGTTTGCATGGTTCCTAACATTTGGCTCTACCTCCTAAATTTAAAGTAAATTGCCAAACCATCCCAAAAATTTGCACCGGCTACCCTTAAAGCTACTCTGCTGATCAAATGGGCAAAAAAGTAAAAATCAGTTTTGTGACGGCTCACCCCGTCTCTGGAATGAAAACCCCTTTATTTCATTCCACTATGAATTCGGGATATTGCTTTCTGTGAAGAAACCCCCTGTTTCCTATGTTATTTACCCATTGCATTCCCCTTTTTATCTCCATTTCTGCCTATTGCATTCGGTAGATTTAATTCTGAACAAAGACCACCCCTCTGGCTCATTAAACATCAAAGTTTGGGTGAAATTGCTACCTCTGTATGTGCGGCCAGCGTTCGTCAGTCAAACGCCACGTGGCAGAGAAAACCGCGGCCATCTTTGTTCATGCGAACAAAGGCAGCGGGACCTGGTCGTCGAGTGCATGGAACTAAAAGTGCATGGACACTCGACTTCCCGAACACCGGTCCCAAACAGACGAACGCTGGAACTCTATTTACCGAATAGCTAGAAGAGCGCTATTCGGTACTTTGGTGTATTTTACAGAGGGGCACGAACGCTGCTAAGAGCCAGAGGGATCCATTCGGTATTTTATTCATTTTTATGCTTTTTTCGAAAGTGACTGGTAAAACCCACCAAATTCGTGGAACTGTTTTGGGCATACAGCCCAGGGTGAGCCGGTCACAAGAGACTTCCATAAATTTTGCGAACCCCTGAACTGATCTGGGTGAAATTCGGATATGTTGGTCACCCAGATCAGGGCTATCAGGGGACATATAATTTATGGGGATACCTCCAGTATAAAGGGGTGTTCTAAATATTGGGTAAAAAGGTGATTTTTCAGCCCGGAGATAATTAAGTTACTATTATCAGACTGAATTATCTCCTGGGCTAGGGGAGGGAATTGTAGGTGTGTGTTAAAGTTTTACTGTATGTGATTGGTTAATGTTTGTCCCTCCCTGAGGGCTGTCCCCTTGCATGGGAACTTGCATAAAAGCTGTGTGCACCCATTAAAGGCTAGTTCATTTTGTACCCTTCTTCTTGACTTCGGCTGATGTTTGGGGATTCGTGTGTTTCACTAAGGGAATTATCTTGTGAAGCTATTGGAATTGCTATAGGATTCGTCTACCCTATCTACTGAACGGAGGGCTATAATCACTAAGGCTCTGGCGGTTCGGGAGGAAACTACCGAATGAGGTTTAAATATACTTGGTTTCCTTCCTGATTTCATGGAATGCTTTAGGCTGGAGCCTCTTGTGCGGTTGGTGAAAATGTGACTTCCATGGAAATCCCGAACCCCTGAACCGATCTGGGTGATCTTTGAATATGTTGGTCCCACAGATCGTGGTTATTAGGGGATATAACTTTAGTGGGGTTTCCATGAATTTTGGGGGTACTTTCTTTTTTTGTGTAAAAGTATATTTTTCTGTGCTTGGAGATAATTGAATCAGGTATTGTATTCACATAATCCAATTATCTCCAAGCACAGAGGAGGAATTACATTGTTTATGGGAGTGTTCTGGACCTGAGAGCCAATGACATTGTATGATTGTCTTTGTTGTAGTCTACTCTCAGGTCCAGAGGGGAGTGCCCTTTGCATGAGGATTGACATAAAAGGCTGTGGTGTGTGGCTCCATGAAACTCCGTCATCTCACAGCATAGAGCCTCGTCTCATGTTTGTGGGAGAAAGCTATAACAGCTCTCTCTCTCTTCTGCTTGGAGTGCTTAATCACTAGCTCTTTTAAGAGCTGTTCCTGCTCTGCGCTACAGCATCCCTCCCATTAGGGGGAAAAGAACATCTCTGGCAGCGAAACTCCTCTTCTCATCGGGGGGGCTGCCACATACCTCCAATGAATACATGCATTTTTTTCATGGATGTATTCATTATGGGTATATCTTAATAGACCTTGCAAAAGATGTTTCTTATAACTTTGCTAGATGCCCCCCTTTTCCCAGAATATACTTTGATTATTTGCCCGTGAAAAGACAATCATAATCAATCATAATGCACGGGAGCAAGTTTATAAATCTGCACACACCTTCTTTTGTGGGCACCTGACCTGAAGCCTGGAGGAGCTGGATGAGCTAAAGACACTGATCTGAGGGGAATGCTTGCCTGCCTCTTCTGTTTGCTCAGGGAAGCTAACAGAAGGAGGCAGCAAACCTTCCTGGCTATTTGTAAGGAGGATGTTCTATAATTTATTTATAAAAGTGACAATTTCTCATGTCAAATGGCACCTTTATAAATTGGGGTTAAAATAGGATACTCCTCAGCCAAAATGCAACTCAGCAAATGCAGTATTTTATGGGTGTGTAGTGGTCCTATAAAGAGGTAAAATATGAAATAGTTAACCAAGAAAGGTTAAGTAAAAAGTAGTAAATAAGTAATAACATGCTTTACTTAATTTGAGAGGGGTTCATTTAAATATTCAGGCAACACAGCATCTTTAAAAATGCATACTTTATAGGTTATTGATTAATCATAGCACATTTGATGGGGACAGAACTGAAGAATACACTTACCATAAAATGACACTCCAGCTTTTATATCTGGATATGTTAACATTAAATGATGAGTCACGACTCCACCCCAGCAAAAGCCAATAACTCCAATCTTTTTAACATGACACTGTTCCCTTAAATACTTGAGAACAACATCCACCTCTCTGTTAAAAAGAATAAAAAAAAAAATATATATATATATAATACATGCAAACGTTAATATACACATATTATTGTAAGTCCTTAAATACATTAAAAAAGTCATGGTGATCTAACAGAATATTTAACAATATTGAACTCTTGACATGTTTTTCATTCTATTTCTTAATTTCTCAACCAAACATATTTAAATTTACATTTTGAAGGTGACTTTCCATCATATGTTAACACTTATGTGTAAATGCCAAGTTTGTTTTTTATAAAAAGAAATCCAGTATTGTACTAATTTTATTTTTCACTTTTTTATAATTAGCATTACTTTTTTTTCCAATCAGGTATTGGAGAAGGTGGCATTTGTTGAGCTGGTTGTAAAAATTGTTGACAAATACATGGATTTGATTACAATACATGGATGAGCATATTAGAGAGTTTGCTTTTTCATTTACCCGCTATAGCAGCAAAGAAAAAATAACTTTAACATGACTATACATTAAATTAAAAAAAAATAGTAAATACATTGTTAAAAGGATACTCTAAGCACCAAAACAACCTCAATTTAAAGGACCACTATAGTGCCAGAAAAACAAACTCATTTTCCTGGCACTATCGGGTCATTACGTCCCCCCCCCACCCTCATGGCCCCCCTTCCGTTGGGCTGAAGGGGTTAAAACCCCTTCAGCCACTTACCTTAATCCAGTGCCAGGCTTCCCCAGTGCTGGTGACCTCTCCTCCTCCTGCCGTTGTCTCCGCCGAATGCGCATCTCCTCCTCTTGCCGTGCGCGTGTTCATTACTCAATGCTTTCCTATGGACGTCCAGCATCTTCTCACTGTGATTTTCACAGTGAGAATCGCGAAAGCGGCCTCTAATGGCTGTCAGAGAGACAGCCACTGGAGGCTGGATTAACCCTCAGTGTAAACAGTTTCTCTGAAACTGCAATGTTTTCAGCTCTCGGGTTAAAACTAGAGGGACCTGGCATGCAGACCACTTCATTGAGCTGAACTTGTCTGGGTGCCTAGAGTGGTCATTTAAGAATTTTTTTTGTGTGTGTGTATAGATTAGGCCCATGAAGTTCCCACTGAATTCTCCCATTTAGGTGTTAAATTAATTTGTTTATGCAGCTCTAGCCACAACTCCTGTGGTTGTAACTCACACAGCCTCCTTGGGCAAAAAAAAGTGTTTCATTTCAATCAGATCTTACAGCACAGGGTGTTCACTTTAGAAGTTCTTATCTTCTGTTAATTAAATTTAAATCTCACACACAGAGTTGTTGCAGGCAATTAACAGAGCAGAACATAAGAAATTATTTTTCTGGAAGTGTGTAGAGATGCTGTGTAAGTCTATGCCTGGGGAGGTGTGGCTAAAGATGCATAAACTAAATTGACTTAACTCATACATGACAGAGAATTGAGCTATGAAACTGGCATGATCTATACACCAATACCACTTAATTAGGCCAAAGATGTTTTGGTGCTTAGAGCTTCCCTTTAAAGTGAACCTGCCATTCCTATTTTAAGTTTATGCACGTCATCCCTTGATTTATCCTATATTAAAGGGTTCTTAAAAAAAGGGATTTAACTCCTAAATAGCAGAGGATTGAGCAGTGAGGCTGCAGGGGCATGTTCTATACACCAAAACTGCTTCATTAAGCTAAAGTTGTTCAGGTGAATGTAGTGTCCCTTTAAATAGATAGAATACATGATGTATTCAATGTAACGCTTTAAGATATAATCACCTTACCTCCTATCCAGTGCCACCCATTCCTCAACTTTGTGGGTTCTACTCTTCTGTAACACCCATCACTGGTCCATCCTTCACTCCACCCGCAGTCTTTTCATTTATTCTATTGCCGTAACTATGCTCCCTTGCCATTGCTAGCAGCATCAGCTAGGAAATTACCATACCAACCACATTGCATGCAATGTGGCTACTATGTGTGGAGAGCAGAAGAATTACCTATGGGAGATCTTTTCGGCTCTTCCTTTTCAGTCAATTCTTCGGCATAGAGTCAAGGCCGAAGAATTGACTGACAATTGGGAGAAACACCTATTTATTTATTTTTCTACCAATCTATACATCTACTAGCAAATCTGTGTAATCACTATTAAAGAGCATTTTGCCAATAAAGGCTTTATCATGTGAGAACTTTTGAAGTAAAAATATATTGTCACACACGGTTGTTCTTGAGCAAGTTTGTCAGCTGCTCACTTGTGAGTGTATTTTTACGCTAATACAGCACTTGTTCAAATTACTACACTATTCGAGGCTTTTTCTGTGTTTGTTCTTGTTTCATATCCTATATGCTGACCCATTAAGGAGACCTGGCTACTACAGAAATCAATAATTTCGTAGGACGTTATACCATACGGAACCTTTTGGACCACTAAAAATATAAGACACAATTTATTTGAATTTTTCAATTTATTTATAGGTTTGATTTTTTATATATATATGTAACATGTTTTTGACCAACTACTAGACGCAGTCTGTCTCTCTGTAAAAATATATTATATAATTCAGAAGTCTGAATAATATATTTTTACAAATAAATTTAAATAGGTGCTACACCAAACATCACACACATTTTGGACATGGAGTTTTTAAAGGAATAACAATCACACAATAAGTACACATTTTTTTAAGCTCCTTGTAATACACACGATCCATTTTCATTTTTAAGGAACCGGTCTCTCCACTTCCACCCAATTGCGTTATACTTATAGCTTGGTTATGTTGCAATACATCATGATTAATTGTAGGGTTTATTCACTGAACAGTAAGTTATAGTGAACTGAAAATGAAATTGCAAAAATTCAGGCTAAAGCAGCCAAGCTGTGACTTCAATTAGAGATATTTTAATTTTAGCTTGTCATTTTACAATTTGTTTTTCAATCAACTAAGATTTACAGTTAAATAAATTATGGTTTAGTGAATAAACCACAATTTTTTATGTACCTCTTAGGAACATATACATAAAACAGGATTTTGTGTGGTAAAATGCATCCTACATTCAAAATAAATAAATTAGCCTTTTGGGATTTTTTTTTTTTTTTTTTTAATTAAATCATCAGTTGTTGAGATTTAAAATTGCATGTATTTTTTTTTTGATTTACATTTAATTTTTCATGCTTGCACAATTCAAATGACATTTCCTAAAACCATAAAACTATAAATCCAATACTTATGTCTTACTTGTCAACTTTAGTTGCTGGTCGAGATTTTAACCATTCAGGGAAGACAGACCAGTCACTGTTTGGATTCCATGGCTCCTGTCCTCTAAATAAATCTGGGCAAACTGTTCTGATGTATAAAACACATTAGAAAAACAAATGTAGACCTGTATAAAACAAACACCTTTGTAATAAAAAAAAAAATAGTATTGTTATTTTAAATAAAAGGAATATCGGCTACTCTTTTAAACCCTTAGTGTGCCATATACCTTTTTATTTATTTTTAATTCACTTCATATATTATCATTTTATTATGTATACCTGGCATCATTTCACCTTTCAAGCAAGGACCGAATTAAAGAATCCTTGGTAGGGATTATACCGCCTACACTTGGTCCATAGAGCGGTGTATTTTCTCTATTAAGTGTGAGTAATATTCCTCCTATTTTATTTTTGTAGCCTATTTTATATAGAGAGCACTATTGTTTTGCTTTTTTGTTTTTTGGTTACCTTGTTGCAAAGTCCATCTGCTGATCATCACTACTGGATATTGCTGCTGTGTACAAGTACTTTGCTGTGGACCAAACTATAAAATTCTTGGTGGGGGTTGTATCACCTACGATTGATTCATAGAGCGATGTGTCTGCTCTCAGAAGTGTGAGTAATACTGGTTATATTATTTATTGTGGCTCAGCCCATACAGAGAACACTATTTTCTCTATTATTTCCTTTGAGGTTCCTTGGCCCTCACCCTGCTGCAGTGAAAACACCATGTTTCTAGACCCTTAAAATTAGATGTGCTGCTACACCTACAGTTAAGACTTTCTTTTATGTACTGTTATTTTATAAAAAAGGTATATCACCATTTTTACTTGGATTTTTTTTTTTTTTTATTATAAATCTTTATTTTGGCAGTGCATAATCAATACAGAAGAGTTTGCATTGCCACAACAGCATGTGCAAGTCGGTCATTCAACATAGTTTAACAATTAGTGGCATTGGTAGTGTAGCACATATTTAATATAGTACATGACTATTATAAGCAACAAGTGAAACCGGTAGCTAATGAATATACAACTCCTGCCGTGGGGATATAAAATATCTACGTGTGTGTGCAGGGCTTCAGATGCCTCAAATACCAGAGAGCTATATCAAGACTGGTGTACTGGGTACATGTTAGAGAGGCCGGATCCCCCTTACTTTACCCTTAAGGTGACAGTGTTCGTAGTTCTACAGTGAGAAAAAAAAAAAAGGGGGGGGGCGGTTGTTAACTGGAGTAGTGTGTAGAGGGAGATAGTGAGAGGTTCAATACTATCATCACATGTGATGAGCAGTACAAAGAGAATTATAACGGTAAGCTTTTAAAGTAAATAAACATGAGAGCCAACTTGACAGACGGTATCATGCGCACACAGTTCAGGGCACCGAAGTGGATGCTGCTGCTTTCCGTTATGCCGCCGTATGAATGGGCGCACCGTCGCTGGATTCCAGGCTACAGAGGTTGTTGGTGTCATTGGTTCGGCTTGCTCTGGTAGTTGTTTATCCAATTTAAGTTTCTGCAGCGTGGCTGGGATCTCTGCTTCTTCTTGTACCTTGATGGCACCAGTGTCCCGGGGTATTATCAGGCTTTTGGGCATGCCCCAACGGTATGGTATGTTGTGAGATAAGAGCTCTTTGGTTAGGGGGCGCAGGGACAGTCTCCAGTCCATGGTGGCTTTGGAGAGATCAGGGTAGAAGGTCAGGGAATAGCCCTCAAAGTGGAGGGGGGATTTGTTGTGCGTGGCTGCCATGAGGGAGAGGCGATCTCTGCCTTGCTGGAAGCGGATGATCACGTCTTTTCCACCCTCTGGGGTGCTTGTTGTTGGTCTGGAGATCCGATGCCAGCTATCCAGTGGCATAGATTTGGCCTGCTTAGCTGTGAAGAGAGTGCTAAACAGCCTGCGGAATAGGTGCAGTAGTTCTGTGGTCACAGCCGTTTGTCTTCTAGCACTGCTAGCTGATCTTGCTGTTGCTGGTGGGCCTTTTGCAGGGTTAGCAGTTGCTGTTCCACTGTCGCTAGTCTGGTCTCATGTGCGGCCATGTTTAGCTCTGTATTTTGTAGTCGGGCCAACACTCCACTTATTTCCTCGCGGAACGTGCTGATGTCAGCTGCAATATTGTGGCGCAGCTCACTAAGCACGTCTCTCAGAGTCTCCTCCGTAACCCGTGGCTTTGCAGGTAAGTGGGTCAATTTGGCCAACGCCCGGGCGCCATAGTCATCCTCCTCCGACCCAGATGCCTCGCTAGACGAGTTGTACCGGTCTTCCATCTGCAGCGCCATTGTAGGCCTCTGCGCGGTTTGGGGCCTCCGCAGGAGATCACCGATATCTGCGGAAGCCTGGGGTCTACCCGGCTTGGATTTTTTGTTGCGTTATTTGGGACTTATTTGCATGGAGCTCAGTGCATGTGCGTCCTCTCAGTATGGCTGCTAGCTCTGCCCCCTACTTGGACTTCTTTTAACTGATTTTTTTTTACCTTCCTATCAAGGAACATTATCCGGTTTTATTGTGATTTTCCATTTTATCGTTGATACTATCTGGCTCTGTTATACATATTGTCCTTTGGCGCATCCTTATTTTTGGTTTTTCAATATTGAGTAAGATGTTTAAGCACCACTTAATTTTACGCTCTTAAAATTTATTGAAAATGTACATTTATTGAACCGCATCAAAATCTGTTGCTGTTTTAAAAGATACACACTCTGTCAGCCTCCCTTCACCCCAAGTTCCTTGAAACTGATCCCCTTTACAAACTTTGGGAGAAGCTGGTAAAGGAAGAAGCTAGGAGGGAAAGGAAGATATACTGAAGTGTCTGGGGAAAAAGGGGCACAGAGAAGGAGTTAGAAAGGAGGGAGAGAAAAATAAAGTTCAAAGGAGCCTTTACAATTTTTTTGCCACAAATGGACAAGTCAGCATAAGTTGACGAGTCAATATGACAATGAGAGCTGTATACAAAAACAGAAAATGGAAATGAGCCAAGTAAAGAGGATTCAGGCACCTCTATAAGAGATCCACAAATTATTCATATGGGACATTTAAAACTACAATATAGTAACCAAAGCAACTACAGCTTATTGCATTTGTTCTGATTGATTTAATGCATTTCTATAAAAAGATGCTGATTGACCAGGGCTATGTCTGGTTTGTGCTGGCTCTGCCCCTAATTTGTCTCCTTGATAGTCTCAGCCAATCCAATGCTTTCCCATGTGAAATCATTGCGAGTGTCTCGGATTCCCACTTCTGACGATGTCAACCAAGCAGGCAGATCAGGGACAGAGCCAGCAGCAGCATATGGAAATAAAGATAAGATTTTGTTAGTTTTAAAAAAGGTAAGGAGGGGTCAGGTGGGTTAGCTGGTGGTTTTAAATCTATAGGGTCAGGAATGCATGTTTGTGTTCGTGATCCTACAGTGTTCCTTTAAGTGCATCTTTGATCCACAATTAAAACTTTTTTTTTTTTTTAAACAAAAGTCATAAATTACAGACAGCTTTTAAGAACAAGCTCAGTATTGCAGTATAAGTTACAGCAAGACAAAAATACAATCTTGAACAATGAACGTAACATTTGGAAACAAAAATTTTTAGATAGTAAAGCTAGGGTACGCTGAAACAATGTAACATTTAGCTGAATACATAAGCGTGTAAACCACACAAATATGGCGAAATAGAAGATTTTTTTCGGTTTCTAGGACTACAAACAGATAATAAACAACTTTATAGAGTGGTTTCACAGGACATTCAAATCCAATATTGCTCCAGCTTATGCCCCTAGGAATGTCATGGTCTGCCTACACTCCTATAAATTTAGATCCGCAATTATGATTGCTGTCTGAGAAAAATCCTTCAAGGACTCAGGATATGAAATTATAAAAATATTTGCTGATCGATCAATGGCTTTGCTACTCAAACTCTGTTGCCGAGAAGCAATGATATAAAATATATAGTCTTTTCCAGTGGGTCTTAAAATCACGCAACATGATAAAAGCTTATTTTTTTAAAGATCCACACAGTCTATAGCAATGGTTATTAGTGAAAGAAAAATTAGATGAAGAAATAAGCAGTTCATAATGTAAGGCTGGAAGTTCCACACAGGAATTACATATACAAAATAGTAATTTTAAATAGTACTAGATTTAATAATGTAAAAGACGGGGGGCAGTACTAACAGGCGAACAGAGCAGATGCACTTTCCGGAGCTCTGAGCACACAGTAGAAAAAATAAAATAAATAAATAAAAAATTTAAAAAAAGTTTTAAGTGTGGAATCTGGGCTTATAATAAACCTCGCACCATGTAATTCGCACAGGTGGAGATAATGGGCCACAAACAAAGAAATCCCAAGCCGACAAAGGCCCTACAGAGATATTGGAGAGCTGCTGCGAACCTCCCAACAGGCTGCATGTAGCAAGATGGCGCTGGCAGAGGACTTCTCATCCTACTCCTTCGAGGAATTTACTATTAATCCAGGGGATGGAGCCGCGTTTGACCTAAAGCCTGACAATCCGAAAACCGGGGATCCGGTTACGGCGGAATTGCTCAAAAATATGTTGGCAAAACTGCGCTGAGAGCACTGCCTTGAAGATTACACAGCTAGAGACCTTCATGAGCACTCATGACACCAGACTCACAGGAGGTGGAAAAACAGGTTGAAGATCTACAATGCCAGCAACATGTCATCCTAGATAAATAAGACATCATGGAAGATCAAAGACGACGGTACAACCTTAAAATCCTGGGCGTTCCTGAGTCTGTGGGACTTTCCTCACTTCAGGCACCTGTTTGTTGTTTTGTTGCCGCCTAAACATGCAAAATCAGTTAGGCTGGATGGCAGGTTTCAATTGCCAAGGCCGGCGAATGCACCAGAATCGTCGACGGTGGATCTCATCAAGCTCTCCAGGACAAAACCCTGCTCCTTGCTGCTCTCCGAGCGAAGATACCGTTACCCTTTGAAGGCTCATCATTATTGATATTCCCAGACCTCACTAGAAGCACTATCATGGCAAAGGGCCATGCAATCACATCTGCAACACTTGTGAACCAGAACTAAACCATATAGATGGGGGATCCCTAGATTCCTGCTCTTCACACACTACCTACAGAGCACAAAGTTCCCAAGAGCTGGTATCACAGTTATGCACCCTAAGGCTTCTGGAACCACTGACAGTGGCTGAAACAAGCCTAGTGCAGCCGAACCGTTGCACCATCAGAGAGTTCACCCCTTCAGCATTCCAGCAAACCCTATCAGTCAGGGCATCTACCCGAGGGACTGTACCCAGCTATGAGGTAGCACTTGTCCATCTAAAGGGCTCCACTTTCCACCCTTAGCAACCACAAGATTTTATATGGCTTGATATTGATATTCTTTTCTGTTTTTATGGTAACAGAGGCTAAGCCTGGAATACTTCTCTTAAAGGAGCACTATAGGGTCAGGAACACAAACATGTATTCCTGACCCTATGGGGTTAAAACCACCATCTAGTCACCCTGTCCCCTCATGTCTCCCTAAAATAGTAAAATTCTTACTTGTATTCAAGCCTGAAGCTGTAACTCTGCATGCTGTTAGACTCAGAAAAACCAGCTGTCTGCTGACATCATCAGAAGTGGTGGCCTGATAAAATCACAATGCTTCTCCATAGGATTGGTTGAGACTGACAAGGAGGCAGATCAGGGGCAAAGCCAGCACAATTAAATCACAGCACTGGCCAATCAGCATCTCCTCATAGAGATGAACTGAATCAATGAATCTCTGAGGAAAATTCAGTGTCTGCATGCAGAGATAGGAGACACTGAATGTTTGGATGCATTTTAGGCAGCCATGACCCAGGAAGGATCTCTAACAGCCATCTGAGGAGTGGCCAGTGAAGTTATCACTAGGCTGTAATGTAAACACTGCATTTTCTCTGAAAAGACAGTGTTTAGAGCAAAAAGCCTGAAGGTAATGATTCTACTCACCAGAAAAAATCCAATAAGCTGTAGTTGTTCTGGTGACTATAGTATCACTTTAATTCTGTTAGCGATCAGACTAATTAAGTACTTGACATACACATTACTCTGATTTCCAACATCCTGTCTCCAAAGCTCCCCCTCCTGCCCCTATGGTTGCTTACTCCAGATTTATACATAGCTTTTAAGCAAGTGGGTGAGTTCTCAGGTTGGAAAGGCATAAATAGGAGCACAAGATAGTTTGATCTTCTAACACACACACAGGGTATTCTACTTTAATAATGTTATTGTGGTGGAATCTCGGTAAAAATAAATTTAGTAGGCAGAGATTACCACGTGGCATGTGTACGTGCATATGCTGACGTATCGATCAGTTGGTTGCACGAGGCAAGATACGATCAGTAGTGTACGGAGCATGTGCAAGAATACAGGATGTAGTATTCCCCTCCTCCATTGTGCTGGACAAGCCATGCGGTCAAGCAGGAAGTTAATTCTTATTTGTAATGATTGGTCAAGAGAATGTGCGGGTGGAGCTTAATATGGGAGGAGTTATGTGCCTATATAGGAAGCCTGCACTATTGTTCAGGGCTCAGAACTTGCTGTATTTTTGGTGACATTAGTCCCTCTGAGTCCCGATCGGTGATCCAATAAAGAATCTCTTCCTTCCTGAAGAAACCTGTGTCCATCTCTCTGTGCTTTGCTTCCGTCAGTTTCTCCGGTATCATTTGGTGCATTGGCCGGGAAACTCATCGTTCAACGGTAGCTGAGAGGCAGAGGCGTGAGACGGTCTATCTTTGCCCACGTTCTCTACGGCTGCACCCCTGAACTTCTGCGTGGACCTCCCTTCGTCTCGGCGCCACTGGTCTGTTGTCCAGGAGATCATCGGCCTCTACGTAAGAAGTGCTGGGGTGTCCCCGTCGATGAGTGTGAACTCAGGTTCAGGAACGAGGAGGTAAGACAACTGCTGTTTTAGACGGCAGACCCACTAGGGGTATACCGATTGTGCGGTAGGCCCAAAAGGGGTTTAAATCTGTGTATGGAATCTGCCCCCTCTGTCGGAGGGAAGGAGCGAAGGCGCACCGCTCGATCGAACGCTCTTTAGTAAGACCGTTTGATCTGGTTAGTCAGGCGGGGTCCTGTGTAAATAGCCCTAGCCGGACACCGGTGTCTTGTCTAGACTAGCGTTCTAGGGTGTATATTACGTTCGCTAGGTCGGAGGGACCGGGAGACTAAGCGGCGCCTGTGTAAATTCGGTTCGCTAGCTCTCAACCTATCTTGGCTAAGTGGGAAGGCGTGTAAATTTGGAACCCACTAGACTTTTGATAGAGTAAATAGACTAGAAGGGCAATTTTGTAAATTTCGCCCTCTAGTTCGCTATATGTGGTGTTTGGGCAGTGTGGCTAACCAAAACGGGTGTATATAGTTTTAGGTAGTCCATTCAAGGTACTGGCCAATAGTTTAGTTGGGATTGTAAATGTGTTAAAGATTGTTAGTAAAGTGTATATCTTGTTAGATAGCGCGAGCTCAGCCGTCTAGCGAGAGTGTTAATAGTGTGTTGCTGTATCATAGTGCACGGTACCATAACCCTGTATATTTACTGACACTGTATATAAGTACTAATCATTGTCGTCTATTGCATGTTTAACACCGTAACCACTAATAATTGTATTGTGACCTTAAATTGTGCTTTGACCTATGCTAACCGTACTGTAACCGATACTAGTAAAAGACGATGTTACTGGGGTGTGTTATAGACGGGTAATTCATATATAGAGAATTATAGCGTGGGTGACTGTATAGTTTCGCCAAAGGGCATAATATTGATTATTTAGTGACTGGTGTAACAGCTGTGTGTGTACGGGAATTCCCTGAGTGATTATTGTGTTATTGTGTACGTTTCACTCGGTAACTGTACCACGTGGTGCTGTTGCCAGAGGAAACGGGTGTGACTGTTGAATAAGAACGCGTGCATAGTATTCGTTGTCAACGACGTTCCATTGATAAGTATGGGCGCGTCAGAGTCAACGATTTCGGATCCCTTAGGTTGTATGGTAAAGAATTTTAAAAAGGGATTCAAAACATGTGATTTTGGGGTTAAAATGTCTCCTGTACGTTTGGTCACTTTGTGCACTAGGGAGTGGCCTACTTTGGTTGCGGCATGGCCGCCGCGTGGCAGTTTGGATCCAACCCTGGTACAGCGTGTACACGTGGCTGTATCAGGTAGGCCTGAACTTTACGGACAGTTTCCATACATTGATTGTTGGAGGCAGGCCGTAAACGACTCGCCAAAATGGATCCGGATATGCCACGAGGAGCAATGTCGCCTCATGGTGGCCAGGACTTGTTTGTCCACTAGGACTGGTGTTAGGCCCATTTTGGACACGCCCCCTGAGTCCGAGATCCCTTTGCCGCCCCCTTACTTTCCTTTAAGAGGAAGTGACGCGAATGCAGGAAGCTCTGCACCCCTTCCCCTATTGCCCCCATCCACTTCCGCTTCCTCCTCCAGTACAGAATCCACCCCCCCTCGTATTAAAACTCCCCTTCCGGAACCAGGACCAACCCCCATTAGATCTGAATATCCTGATTTGGCGCCACTTCAAACTTCCGGTCAAGCTTCTTCTAGCTCGGCTCGGAGTATACTATTCACTAACTTTTCCCAAAATCAAGTTCCCACATCCTCATGCCCTATTACCTCTCGACCGGAACCTTTAACTGACGCCCCTCCACGTAGCCCCATACTAACCCGACAACTGACCGGTACCCAACAATTAAAACATTATCAGATGCCTCTTCGTCTGAATCCTGGGTCAGCCTATATCGATGCCGCAGGTCAAATGGCACATGCTGACCCAGTCTTCGTATATGTCCCGTTCACGACTACCGATCTCTTGAATTGGAAGACCCACAATTCCTCGTACACTGAGAAACCACAAGCTATGACCGATCTGTTCACCTCGATAGTTCAGACACATAACCCGACATGGGCTGATTGCCAGCAGTTATTAATGACATTGTTCAATAATGAGGAAAGGACAAGGATTAACCAAGCGGCCATTAAGGCGCTAGAGGAGAGAGCCCGTGCTTTAAATCAAGCCAATCCGGCAGCATGGGCCGCAACACATTACCCTAACACCGATCCTGACTGGAATGTAAATGGCGCAGATATGGCTCAACTTAAAGCCTATAGAGACGCTATAATTGCTGGCATGAAAGCCGGAGGGAAGAAAGCTATTAACATGTCGAAGACAGTTGAGGTGATTCAGAAAAGTGATGAAGCGCCCAGTGTCTTTTATGACCGATTATTGGAGGCATACCGCTTGTATACCCCCTTTAATCCGGAAGACGCTGATAATTCCCGAATGGTAAACTCCGCCTTTGTCAGCCAAGCTTACGGAGATATTAAGCGCAAGCTACAGAAATTAGAAGGGTTTGCAGGTATGTCTATCACCCAACTAATGGAGGTAGCGAACAAAGTATATATGAATAGGGAAACAGAAAGTAAGAAAGAGGAAGAGCGCAAGATGCGTAGAAAGGCAGATATGCTAGCGGTAGCGATCGCAGGCGTAGATAGACGGGGCCCAGATAGAGGCGATGGTAGATGGAATAGGGAGCCTTTGAGTAGGAATCAGTGCGCGTACTGTAAGGAAGAAGGGCATTGGAGGAACGAGTGTCCGCAAAGAGAGCAGTATGAGAGAGACTTACCCAGGGCAGGTTACGGAAACTTTAGAGGCAGAGCGAGAGGTAGAGGAGGCCCCGGAGGGAGTAATGGTAATAGAGGGAGTAATGGGAACAGAGGAAGTGTAAGGGAAGATAGGTACTATCCAGCAGCGCAAAGGTCCCGCGATAGAGAAGGTAGGGACTTTGTGGGATTGGCTGACACGGTCATGGAGGACTATTGATACCGACCGGGCTCCATCCCCCTTGGTCGAGCGGAGCCTATGGTCGATGTATCAATAGGGGGAAAAAGGAGTGCGTTTATGATCGACACTGGTGCTGAACATTCGGTGGTGACTAATCAAGTTGCTCCTCCATCTGGAAGAACTATTACTGTAATAGGAGCAACTGGAAGAAGTGCTGAAAAACCGGTTCTTAAAAGTCGACTCTGTACATTGGGAGGCCACGTAGTAAAACATCAATTCCTTTATATGCCTGAGTGTCCAGTCCAATTGCTGGGACGTGATATGCTATCCAAATTACAAGCGCAGATTACGTTCCTACCAAATGGAACAACATCCTTAAAGTTTAATGGACCTTCAGGTATTATGACATTGTCCGTACCAAAGGAAGAAGAGTGGCGACTTTATACAGTGTTGACTAGCCAAAACCCGAGGAGTGATGAATCCTTATTTAACATACCAGGAGTTTGGGCAGAGAACAACCCACCAGGACTGGCCCGCAATATTCCACCTATTAAAATCGAACTAAAACTTGGGGTTTATCCAGTAAGCCTGAGACAATATCATATTCCGCAGAAGGCTAAGAAGAACATCCAATCTTATCTGGATAAGTTCATACGGTATGGTATCCTAAAATTCTGTACTTCCCCCTGGAACACCCCATTGCTGCCTGTTCAAAAGCCCGGTACAGATGAGTATCGACCTGTGCAGGACTTGAGAGCAGTCAATGATGCGGTTGTTAGTATACATCCAGTCGTGCCCAATCCATATAACCTGCTTGCTTTAATTCCGGGCGGGGCTACTTACTTTACAGTCTTAGATCTCAAAGATGCCTTCTTTTGCCTCCGAATTGCCGCAGAAAGCCAATGTATCTTCGCTTTCCAATGGGAAAATGCTGTAACGGGCTCGAAACGCCAAATGACCTGGACAAGATTGCCCCAGGGGTTTAAAAATTCACCTACCCTATTTGGTTCAGCTCTAAGTCAAGATCTACTAGATTTCGAGTCTATCCCAGGAGAGTGTGTATTATTACAATATGTAGATGACTTGTTGATAGCAGCAGTTACAAAGGAAGTATGTCAGCAAGCAACGCACGATCTACTACACATTCTCTGGAAGGCAGGATACAAGGTGTCTAGAAGGAAGGCTCAGTTGTGTTTGCCAACTGTCAAATATCTGGGATTCCATATCTCTGAAGGTCAAAGAATTATGGGGCCAGAGAGAAAAGAAGCTGTGTGCCAAATACCGATACCCAGGAATAGAAGACAAGTGCGAGAATTCTTGGGGGCAGCAGGCTTCTGTAGGATATGGATTCCCAGCTACGCGATACTGGCAAAACCTCTGTATGCAGCTATCAAAGGTACAGAGCACGACCCCTTCTTATGGACTCAAGAACAGCAAACGGCATTCGAAGATGTGAAGAGGGCTTTGATGAGTGCCCCAGCATTAGGTCTACCTGACCACACACGGCCATTCTACCTGTATGTACATGAGCAAAGAAGAATGGCTGTGGGAGTATTGACACAGTACTTGGGATCATGGCAAAGACCTGTTGCCTACATGTCTAAGCAACTGGATGCAGTGGCCAGCGGACTTCCACCTTGTCTAAGAGCTGTAGCTGCAGCCGCCCTGCTAGTAGCTGAAGCCGATAAACTCACTCTGGGTCAAGAACTTTATGTACGAGTTCCACATGCAGTACAGACGTTGTTGGATTACAAAGGAAATCATTGGTTTAGTAACAGCCGTATGACCAAGTATCAAGCAATGTTGTGTGAAAACCCAAGAGTGCATTTAGAGACTGTAAATACCTTAAATCCAGCTACCCTTTTGCCACAACCTACTGAAAGTCAACATGATTGTTTGGAAGTAATGGATGAAGTATTTTCAAGTAGACCAGATCTTCGTGATTTTCCCATCCAGAACCCTGATGTTCAATATTACACCGACGGCAGTAGTTATGTAAAAGAAGGGATCCGCTATGCAGGATATGCAGTAACAACGATAGACAAGGTGATAGAAGCTCGGCCACTGGCAAAAGGAACATCAGCACAAAAGGCAGAATTGATAGCACTGACACGAGCGTTACAATTGGCTGAAGGTTTAAGAGTGAACATCTACACGGACTCCAAGTATGCGTTTTTAACCACTCATGCCCACGGAGCTTTGTATAAAGAAAGAGGACTATTGAATTCAGAAGGCAAAGAAATCAAATACGCAGCTGAGATCCTACAACTATTGGAAGCAGTGTGGGAGCCGAAAGAAGTCGGTATTATACATTGTCGGGCGCATCTGAGAGGAGATGGTGATGTAACCAAAGGGAATCGGATGGCAGATAGTGCAGCTAAGCGTGCTGCTGAATCAGGAAGACAGGAATATGTGGGGCATATAGCTGCTCTTATACCAACTCCACTGTCTCAATGGACTCCAATTTATACAGCTCAAGAAGAGGAGTGGTTAAGGACTGAACCTGGAAAGTATTTGGAGAACAAATGGTATCAGTTAGAAGATGGAAGAATAGTTATTCCAGCATCACTAGCGGTAGAAATTGTCCAAAACTATCATAACGGGACACATTCTGGGAGAGACAGTACAGAAGAATCTCTCAGAAAACATTTCTACATACCAAGATTGTCCAACTTGACTCAGGCCATTGTACGTAGATGTGTAACGTGTGCTAAAAATAATGCAAGACAAGGACCAGTAAAGCCACCAGGAGTCCAGTTTATGGGGGGACTTCCCATGTCCGATTTACAAATTGACTATACAGTGATGCCTAAATCGGGTGGACATCGCTACCTGCTGGTAGTGGTGTGCACCTATTCAGGCTGGGTAGAAGCATGTCCTACTCGTACAGAGAAAGCAGGAGAAGTCGTGAGATTCCTGCTACGAGAAATAATACCCCGATATGGACTACCCTGCTCTATAGGATCGGACAATGGTCCAGCTTTTGTTCATCAGTGCCTACAACAATTGACTCATATGCTTGGTATAAAGTGGAGGCTTCATACGGCATATAGACCCCAGAGTTCTGGTAAGGTAGAGAGAATGAATAGAACTATTAAGAATCAGTTGGCTAAAATGTGTCAGGAAACCCAACTTAAGTGGAACGTTCTCTTGCCCATAGCTCTATTGCGAATCCGTAGTACACCTACCAGAAGGATGGGCCTCTCTCCTTTTGAAATCATGTACGGGCGACCACCTCCCGTGCTTGGTAACTTAAGGGGGGATTTGAGTCAGTTGGGAGAAGGAATTACCCGGCAGCAGGTTGTAGAGTTGGGTAAGACTATGGAGGAGGTACAGAAATGGGTACAAGATAGATTACCTGTGAATATTTATCCCCCAATTCATAGTTACCACCCAGGCGACCAAGTGTGGATTAAAGAGTGGAATAATGTGCCGTTAGGGCCCAAGTGGAGAGGTCCTTATGTTGTTCTTTTGTCTACCCCTACAGCGATAAAAGTAGCCGAAGTGACTCCGTGGATACATCACTCCAGGGTTAAACCAGCAGCAGCCGATTCCTGGCAAGTTACAGCAAATCCAGAGAATCCCTGCAAGATCCGGTTAAAACGCACGACTCAGTCGGAGTGACGAGGAACCTTGTGGATTACAAATTTTATTGTTTCAGAGACTTGGTAAGTGAGTGAGAAGGCCATAATAAAGCCTGTCCACTCACCAACGAGTGTATAAGTCAGGGAAAGTCTTGAGGGGACCCCTGTGAAGACGAGCAGAACTCCATTCCCTGCAGTCCTTACATCCTGGAAGCTGAGGTGCCTTCGCACGGACGAAGACTGAGGATGACGACGAAAGATGTATTTTTAATAATGTTTATTTATGTGTATTTTTATATTCAGGAAGGTAGAGGTACCAACACTCCTAGCTGTGAGGTATGCATTAAGACTACAAGAACAGGTAACCATATATCCCAGACCCTAATTTGGCATTCGCAATATGAGTGTAAAGGAGATGTATCAAGATGTAGATACTTAAATATAGAATATAGTGTGTGTCATTTAGGAGTAGGAGAACCTAAGTGCTTCAGTCCTGAGTATCAACCCCGTACAATTTGGTTGACTCTCAGAAATGGAGATCCTCAGGGGACCCTAATTAATAAGACGGTATTAAAATCCGTATATTCTTCAGGTGCTCTGCTATTTGATGCGTGTAAAGCAATATCAAGTGGTAGAAAGCCGTGGAATGTATGTGGGGATCTTAGATGGGAGAGGACGTATGGGTCTAACGATAAATATATTTGTCCCAGTAGTAAAAATAAATATGTAAGTCCAAGATGCCCAAATAGAGATTATAACTTCTGCCCATATTGGTCTTGTGTGGGGTGGGCGACTTGGGGACAGACAGCAGACAAGGACATGATTGTGACTAAGTTGCCTACTGATCCATATTGTAAGTCTATGGAATGCAATCCAATCCATATACTTATAAATAAGCCTGACAAGTTCTTAGATAAATATGGTAATTTATTTGGGTTTTTCAAATATATGGGATGGGTTTAGACCCTGGGACAATATTGTTTATAGGGATAGAGACTGATACGGTAACCTCCCAAACTCATCAAGTATACCATTCCTTTTATGAAGAGATGAGCATAGATAATAAGATCCCCCATAATGCTAAAAACTTGTTCATTGATTTAGCCGAGAGTATTGCCGGTAGTCTTAATGTTACCAACTGCTATGTGTGTGGAGGTACTAACATGGGAGACCAATGGCCTTGGGAAGCAAAGGAGGTAATGTCCGGTTCTGAGGCAGTTGACCAATTAATATCTACACAAGCCGACTATCATATGAGTGTTAGAGGTAAATCTGAGTGGAGATTGAAGACCTCCATCATAGGTTATGTTTGCATAGCGAGGAAAGGAATGATGTATAATACTTCTGTAGGAGAATTAACTTGTCTAGGGCAAAAAGCTTATGATGATGATACAAAGAATACAACTTGGTGGTCGGCTTCAAATGTCTCAGAACCATCTAACCCGTTTGCAAGATATGCCAATTTAAAGGACGTATGGTTTGATCTATCCATCACATCTAACTGGAGAGCCCCAGCGAATTTGTACTGGATCTGTGGTAAGAAGGCCTATTCGGAGTTACCACAGGACTGGGAAGGGGCATGTGTGTTGGGTATGTTGAAACCATCCTTCTTCTTGTTGCCTATTGAAACAGGTGAGACTTTAGGTGTTAAAGTGTATGATGTGAATCATAGGAAGAAAAGGGGACCCATAGAGATAGGTGCCTGGGAAGATAATGAATGGCCTCCCCAGCGTATTATAGATTATTATGGGCCAGCCACGTGGGCAGAGGATGGTACCTTTGGTTATAGAACCCCTATTTATATGCTCAACCGCATTATAAGGTTACAGGCGGTGGTTGAGATCATTACTAACGAGACATCACAAGCGCTCAATCTTCTAGCGAAGCATAATACCAGGATGAGGACAGCAGTTTACCAAAATAGATTAGCCTTGGATTATCTTTTGGCAGTAGAGGGAGGTGTATGTGGGAAGTTTAACCTGAGCAATTGCTGTCTTCAAATAGATGACGAAGGGCAAGCAATAGCTGAGCTTACTAGCCATATGGTTAAACTAGCGCATGTGCCTACTCAGGTATGGAAAGGGTACAATCCAAGTAGTTGGTTTGGTAGCTGGTATGAGTGGTTTGGAGGGCTTAAGGCAGTGGTAGGTGGAGTCCTACTGATTTTAATGTTGTGTCTACTCCTGCCGTGTCTTATACCCTTAGTAGTTAGGTCTGTGCAAAGCCTGATAGAAAATATAGCAGAGAGGAAGGCTGCTGCACAGATAATGGCAATTTATAAATATAAGGCTCTAGATCAGGGAGAACCAATGCAGGAAGACGAGTGTTGAAGATTCACATCATAGGATAAGTCTGGTCTGGTTCAAAGGTAACTTGTGGTGTATGCAAACCAAGGTTAAGTGATGCCTCAAGTAATTGTAAAATATCAAGAGGCATCAAAGGGGGGAATGTGGTGGAATCTCGGTAAAAATAAATTTAGTAGGCAGAGATTACCACGTGGCATGTGTACGTGCATATGCTGACGTATCGATCAGTTGGTTGCACGAGGCAAGATACGATCAGTAGTGTACGGAGCATGTGCAAGAATACAGGATGTAGTATTCCCCTCCTCCATTGTGCTGGACAAGCCATGCGGTCAAGCAGGAAGTTAATTCTTATTTGTAATGATTGGTCAAGAGAATGTGCGGGTGGAGTTTAATATGGGAGGAGTTATGTGCCTATATAGGAAGCCTGCACTATTGTTCAGGGCTCAGAACTTGCTGTATTTTTGGTGACATTAGTCCCTCTGAGTCCCGATCGGTGATCCAATAAAGAATCTCTTCCTTCCTGAAGAAACCTGTGTCCATCTCTCTGTGCTTTGCTTCCGTCAGTTTCTCCGGTATCATTATGGTTCTACTTTTGTTTTCCTCTTTTCTTTTTCTTTCCTTTATTTCATAAAAAAACTCATGCTGTATGGTGTACACTGTAAATCCTATGCAGCCCTTGCAGGACGTACTTTTCTGTGAAAGATATCATGTTACATTGTATTGCCTACTCCACATGCAGTGTAAAAAATAAATAAATAATAATGTAAATGAAATTTATTTTCTAGTTATAGTACACTAAATTTTGACAGCTACTGCTAGGAAACAAAAGATCTAATTCACGACAAAGTTATAATTAATGATAGTGCCCCCTTCCGTCGCGGGCCACCCCTGTGGTGCAGAAGGGGTTTAAAACTAATGTCCCGGCCTCAGCACTGGTTTAGGTTCCGCTTCCGTTCGCATTAGTACTTTGCTTACCTGGCCACTCTCACATTAGTACTTCTCCCATAGGAAAGCATGTATAATGTTTTCCTATGGGGTTTTATGAGGTGCTGTATGTCCTCATGCAAGTATAGCTATGCGCTTTAACAACATCTTAAAAGGACACTGTAGGCACCCAGACCACCTCAGCTAATTGAAGTAGTCTGGGTGCTGTGACCCTTTTGCACCTAGTGCTGCAATGTAAAACATTCAATTTCCAGAGAACTGCAATGTTTACATTGCAGCTCCAAGTATGCCCTCTGTGGCTCCCGGAATCTAAGCGGATATTTGGTCGGTTATCTGACGCTGGACGTCTTTATGGACCTCCAGCATCAGATTTTCCCTATAGGAAAGCATTGAATAATGCTATCCTATGGGGAGGTCTAATGCGCACGCGGCCATTGCCGTGCATGTGCATTAGGTCTCCCCCGCCAGCTGACGTAGGCGGAGCATGGGCAGAGTCTGACCTAGCGCCGAGGAACATCGGCGCTGGATTCAGGTAAGTAGTTGGAGGGGTTTTAACCCCTTCAGCGACATGGGATGTGGGCTGGAGGGAGGGGGCACTCCAGGATTCTCTAGTGCCAGGGAAACAGGTTTGTTTTCCTGGCACTAGGGTACCCCTTTAAGGAAAAACAGGCTGTTGGGTTGGTGGTGAATTTGCATTAATAGTTTCAATAAAAGAGAGATTTTTACATATATAAGAAAAAAAATTATACTCGCATGAACATCTAGTGATGGAAAGTTCAACTAAACAAAATACATTAGAAAACATACTTAAAAACAAGATATAAAGAAAATGCTGGCGGATTACTTAAAACTAGATATGGGAGACCCAGACAAGCTGATTCAGTCAATTATTACAAGATTATTGCCGGTTTTGTATATTTGTTCTGTTGTGAGGGATTCTATTCAGGAAGTGGGTTGAATAATTGAGACTGGAGAAGTCATAAGTTGCATTTTCAGATGAATTTAAAGGAAACCACTTAAAGCATTTGTTGTGTTGAGCTATTTCAATTACTTTTGATGATTTGCTCATTGCAAACTGCTGACAATAGACCTAATTTTGAAGTGTTCAAATGAACAAGGGGCTACCACTCTCTCGTAATCCCCCAGCAAGGTTTTGTCTATTTTGTCTTAATTGTAATTTTGTTAACTATGTGTACGCGATTCGTTTGTGATGTACACAGATCTATCAAGAACTGATGACTTGGAAGATGTTATGTTGGCTCAACTAATATGGCTATTATTATTGCAAGTCATGTGATATTTGTAATATTTTTATGAAAAATTAAAAATAATAATAATAAAATAATAGTGTTAGCAGAAACCACATTATTGCTCTGTGGATTTTATATACAATCCCCAGTATTTGAAGAAGTGATAATATTAATTTTAAGTCCGTTTGTCACTTCACCTTTAAATTCTGAGAGTAAGGTGAACATATTTGTTACCTAACTAGTATTAAAATAATACATTAAAAGATCAAAATAGGACGAGTAAATTGCAATGCAGTAAATTAGATATGGGCTAGATACATGCAGTCAAAAACATATAGACACAGTAAAACAAAAGTCCACAAATTTGTCGGTATATTTATTGCAAAGAAATAATTGTTTAATTACCGATATTTACATTTCATGGAGGGTGTACTGAATAGGAAATAACTTACATGTATCCATGAGCAGAAAGTAGATCAGCAATGAATCGAGTGTTAGGGAGCTCCCATCCAAAGATATCTTGGACTACAATAACAGCTTTGTCTGTGCTGGAATGCGGTTTGCATACATAAGCTTTAATGTGTTCAATCTGTATCACTTTTCCTTGTTCTTCATGTTCAAATTTATCTCCAATGTCACATGGACAGGGACGAGCTTCATTTGCCATTACAAAGCTGTTGTAAAACAAAACAATGTCACGATGAACTAAAAACATCTTTTAAACAAATGATTTAAATAACTTTTCCTGCCCCAGAGTCATGATTTCCCAATCAGTGTGATTGTTTCACTATTTTGACTCTTGGTTCTGACTTTGGCTTGGTCTCTGACCTTGTGTATCTCTGTAATCATGACCTGGTTACATTTACTCGTCCTCCCGTATCCATGTTATCCTCATCTCGGCTTGTCTAGTCATTTACGAATTTTCTCATGGTCCACTTTAACCCCTTAAGGACTGAGCCAAATGTACACGTTGTGAACGAAACAAAATGTAAACAAAACCTGGCATTTGCGCTACATGTCTGTCCAACCGTAATTCAGCTCTTTCATATTAAATGCACCCACCCTTATTATATATCTTTTTATTCAGGGGAAAGATGGCTTTCATTTAATATCAAATATTTAGCTATGAAACATAATTTAATATGGAAAAAAAAAAAAAAAAAATGGGAGAAAATAAGAATTTTTAATTTTTTTTTAATTCTACATGACATTTTAACTGTGAATGTCATAATACTGTTTGCTTTTACTGCAATAAAATACACATATTTGTATTCACCAAAGTCCCAAGTGTAAAACAATACCCCTTATGTACAGGTTTTATGGCGTTTTGGGAAGTTACAGGGTCAAATATAGCACATTACATTTGAAATTGAAATTCGCCAGATTAGGTACGTTGCTTTTGGGACTTTATAGTAGCCCAGGAATGAAATTTACACCCATAATGGCATACCATTTGCAATAGTAGACAACCCAAGGTATTGCAAATGGGGTATGTCCAGTATTTTTTAGTAGCCATTTGGTCACAAACACTGGCCAAAGTTAGCGTTAGTATTTGTTTGTGTGAAAAATGCAAAAGAACGCCAATTTTGTGACTAAGTGGCTACTAAAAAAGACTGGACATACCCTGTTTGCAATACCTTGGGTTGTCTACTATTGCAAATGGTATGCCATCATAGGGGTCATTTCCATTCTCGGGCTACCATAGGGTCTCAAAGGCACCGTAACCAATCTGGCGAATTTTAATGTGAAAAAAATGAAATGCAAGCCTTATATTTGATGCTGTAACTTTTGAAAACACCATAAAACCTGTACATGAGGGGTACTGTTGTACTCGGGAGACTTCGCTGAACACAAATATTTGTGTTTCAAAACAGTAAAAAGTATCACAGCAATAATATCGTCCGTGTAAGTGCTGTTTGTGCATGAAAAATTCAAAAAACATCACTTTTACTGGTGAAATCATCGTTGTAATACATTTTACTGTTTTGAAACACTAATATTTGTGTTCAGGTAATTTTACACTAATACATTTTATTTGAATTTTATTTTCAGCCAGCAATGCAGGAGGCAGCCTACCCGGCCATGTGATTGTGGGGTCCTCGCAAGGACCCCACTCTCACATGGCCGGGGGGCACCGGATGAGGAGGATCTACTGCGGGGGGCTCCCTGGGAGTCCCCCCCACCGCGATCGCCGGCGACCGGGTAAGTGAACAAAAACCGGAGGGCGTACAATTACACCCAGCGGCGTTTAGAGCCGCCTAAAATAGGGCGTAATTGTACGTCCTCCGTTCTGAAGCCCAGCCACTCTAAGGTCCAGTAATATGTTCTATTTTACTTTTGTACACTCTGACCAGTAATATGTTCTATCCTACTTTGGTACTGTGACAGTTGTGTATTTGGGTTGAGCATGGTATTTGTTGGTGTGTTGTATGTATGTAGTACAGGTCCCTGTACACTCTGTTTCCCTGGCACTAGAGAATCCTGGAGTGCCTCTCTCCCTCCTGCTCCCCCCCCCAAATCAGTTACTTACTTGAATCCAGCGCCGGGTCGAGCACCGCCCACGCTCTTCCCCCACCGACATCAGCCAGCAGGGGAGACCTAATGCGCATGCGCATGCTCTGCCAGTATGAAAACATTATTCAATGCTCACTGTTAGACAACCACAGAGAGTAGACTTAGAGCTGCAATGTAAACACTGTTCTCTGGAACTGCAATATTTTACATTGCAGCACTAAGTGCAAAAGGGGCACAGCACCCAGACCACTTCAATTAGCTGTATTTCCTTTAAAATAAGAAGCTGGGGAACATTATAGTGTCCCACTTTAGCTACATGGTGTAGCCAACAAATAAATAAATAGGGGTGGGGGATTTAGTGTCCTGTGGTCAGTGGCTCGAATTAATACAGACAGAGGAATGTACTGACCCCCCGCACCACTCCACAGGCACTGGATGAGAGCTATTAAATTATTAAGGCTCAAGGATCTAATGTCCCTGCCAACCCCCATAAATCTCTTCCCACATCTAAAGTGTGACAGGAATCACATAATGTACTTATAAGAATACACATAGCCTATTCTAAGCTTTTCCTTTCATCTCTCAACCAAATCCATATTCCCCAATATCGGTGTCCTGTGAATTTGGACTTTGGAGGGAGGGGTAACAGGAGGTGGGCCAGTGATGTGAATCATGTTATTGGCACAGACCAAAGGGGCAGACTCACCCAGAATCAGGGTGGGTCTGCCCAAAGAATTGGAAGGTCAAACAGCTATACAGACAGCTCTGTTTCAGCACCCTGAGCTTGGAGTTACCACTTCTAATGATGCTTACTGGTGACAGTCCCCTGGTATGCTCAAGCACTCACTTTTGCACTTCTTCCCATTTTAGTAGCAGACAGAAGTTCCTAGTATGCAGTCAGGGACAGAGAAAAAGGTGGATGCAGTGAGTGTAGCATAAATGAGGCATTCCACACTATAGAGACCCCAAAATAGCAAGAACATTTGCACAGTACAAATTCAGCTTTCCAGCCACTATTTTATAGTCAATAGTCCACACAATGTTTCTTCCCCTGTATTTCTCCTGAATTCCCTCTCTGCAAAGCAAGAGTAGTAAATACATTTTTAAATCAATGGGCCTATTCCATGGGCATGTGCCTGGAGCTTCATTTATGAGGGTGAGTTGTGTAGGTAGGGTACTTTTGTTTGGGAATGGGTTACTAGAGGCTCTGGAACCTCTAGACAAAATGTGTAGATACACTAGCTAACGCTGAAAACTGTATATAAAGTAGGTGCAATCCATGTTTGAATAAAACACGCCTTTTACTGAGATGGTTTAAAAACAAAAAGTCAAAAAAATGGACATAGCAGCACAAAACCTAAAAAAAACATATCCAAGCTGAATACGTTTTGTGCAACAAGGCACAATATCCTACTAAGGTTTTTAAACACATTCCCTCTCGCTACCTGGCTGGGGATGTGAGAACCATTTGGGTGGAGGGTGGAAAATGTCAAGTTCACCCCTTTGAAAACCGAAAGTGATTCTCTATGGTCTTCTCTGCTTCACTCCCTGCACCGGGCTGTGACATCATCAGACTGGCTAACATTTAAAGTCAAACACTGTCTAAAGTGTATGTATATGGCTGAAGGATCCTGTCATATACTAAAGGTAGGGAACATGATTTTTTTTTTTTTTTTAAACATATCCATCATTTAACAAAGAATCAATTTTCTTTTAAAAAACAAATAGTATTCAGGTGATAGTTCTCCCTTAAAGAACCACTATAGTGCCAGGGAAACAAACTCGTTTTCCTGGCACTATATAATCCTTAGGTCCCCCCAACCTTCATGGCCCCCCTTCAGCCACTTACCTTTCTCCAGCGCCGGGCTCCATCTGCGCTGGGGAACTCTCCTCCAACTGCCGACGTCAGCGCCAAACTCAATGCTTTCCTATGGACGTCCAGCGTCTTCTCACTGTGATTTTTCACAATGAGAGTTGCGGAAGCGCCTCTAGCGTCTGTCAGTGAGACAGCCACTAGAGGCTAGATTAACCCTCAGTGTAAACGTAGCAGTTTCTCTGAAATTGCTATGTTTTCAGCTGCATGGTTAAAACTAGAGGGAACTGTCACCCAGACCACTTCATTGAGCTGAAGTGGTCTGGGTGCCTATAGTAGTCGTTTAATAAACTTGTGCAAGATCTTTTAAAGGAACACTCCAAGCACACTGTAGAGGTTTGTTGGAAAATTAATTGTTTTACCTATGCAATGCTTAGTGAATATTCCCCTAGACACACAGAGCTATACCTATGGATGTATTGCATAATGAGACATGGATTTAATAACATATTATCCTGTATATACAGTTGTCTGGACAGGTTTCCTTGATGGTTCTGTTGGTGTAAGATGGCAAGGGAATAGAGGTGAAGATGATAATTAAAAGTCCCAAGGTATAATTAGTATCCCTGGCTATACCTTGCCTAACACACTCACCTGCAGTGCCAGAAGAGGGGACTTGTCATAGATAAAGATAAAGAAAGGGTTAAAAGTCTTTGCCTTATCCTACATTATGACATAGGAACGTTGTGTGGGCATCATAGGTGTGGCTGTATGGTTACAGGAGAAGCGAGGTGCGAGAGCTGCACAAGCATGGAATCCGAGTGTCTTGGCACACTTGACTGAAAGCGTATGGAGTCTTTGATGCAGCCGCATCTCTTCTGAATACAGTGCCAGGTTGACCCCTGACTGATCTGAAGGTTGAGGAAGAGAGATTGGGAGTCTGGAGACCTGTGTGCTGCTTTAGGGAAGCAAACCTACCGGAGTGTGTGTTTGCTGATGGTCAGACTCTTGATGAGCTCAGCTGGATTAACATTACCATTGTGGTTTGCATTTATGCTACATATTGCCAGGTCTGTGTATGGGGCATAGCTCCTAACTAGCGGCAGAAGTTAATGAAAAAAAGGAAATTATATAAAGAAAGGGGAAAATAGGAGACGGAAGAGAAGAAAAATAAAGTGAAAGATCAAGTGGAGGAAAGCCTGGAATCGCGATAGTGGGACCAGGTTAGCGGAAAATTTTAAAGAGCCGGATAAAATCTTATAATGGGACTGACATATTTAACAGGAGCGGGATGAGCAGTGAAGTTTTAAGAGCACTGAAGTGATATAGGTGCCCAGGGCCGCCATCAGGGGGTGACAACCGTGACTGTTGTCACGGCAGTCCTGGGCCCCACTTTCTCTTTCTCTGCACACATAGATAGCGTATATCGCTATCTATGTGTGCAGCCGCGGGCCCCCGGCTCCCTACGCTATCTATGTGTGCAGAGAAAGAAAGTGGGGCCCAGGACTGCCAGAGCACAGATGGAATCTACCCCCTCCCTGGATACAGGTAAGCAGGGAGGGGGGAGAAACATTTAATTAAATTAATTAAAAATTTATGTTAAAATGCCCCTTCCTCCCCCCCCACAGATTGCACGTTTACACACACACACCCACACACACACACACACACTGCATACACTAACACACACACACACACACACTGCATCCACTAATACAACACAACACACACACACACTGCATCCACTAACACAACACACTGCATACACCAATACAACACACACACACACACTGCATACACTAACACAACACACACCGCATACACTAACACAAAACACACACACTGCATACACTAACATAGCACACACACTGCATACACTAACACAACAGGCCAGGAGGTATATGGGAATAATGCATAGATGAATGAGCATGTGTTGTGCCATAGACCCCTCCTCAGAGGTTAGACTAACAAAACACACACACACTGCATACACTAACACAACGCACACACTAACACACCACACACTGCATACACTAACACAACACACTGCATACACTAACTCAACATACACTCTGCATACACTACACTAACACACACACTCTGCATCCGCTACACACTAACACACTCTCTGCATTCACTACACTAACACACACTCTGCATCCGCTACACACTAACACACTCTCTGCATTCACTACACATTAACACATTCTGCATTCGCTACATATTAAAACACACCACGCATTCACTACAAATTTACACACACACTCTGCATTCACTGCACTAACACATACACTACATTCATTACACTGACACACTCTGCATTCACTACACACTAACACACTCTGCATTCACTAAACTATGCATACACTCTGGATTCACTATACTGACACCCACTCTGCATTCACTACACTAACATACACTCTGCATTAACTGTACACACAGCATCCACTACACAAACATCCTGTATTCACAGTACACACACTACATCCACCACACATTGAAAAACTCTGCATTCACTATACACAGACACTGCGTCTAATACACGCACTACATCCACTACAGACACTGCACCCACTAAACACATTTCATCTAGTACATAAAACATTACATCCACTACACAAACACACACACTATATCCACTACTCAAACACACTCTGCGTTCACTATACACACTGCATCCGCTACACAAACACACACTCTGCATTCACTGTACAAACAGTATCTAATACACACAAACACTACATCCATTACACATATTCTAATTCACTTCTACTATACACACCACATTCAGTCCTGCATCATTGTCAGCGGACCAGGTAGGGCGTGGGCGGGCCCGGGAGGGAGGGTGGGGGGGGGGGGCCCAGACCTTGTGCTTTGTCAGGGGCCCCAAAATTTCTGATGGCGGCCCTGTAGGTGCCTATCAATCCCAGTCCAGCTCTCTCGTTTATCTGGGTGGCTCATATTATATTTGCTCTCATTATAGTAACTAGTGTTAATACTCAGATAGGTGAAGCAGCTATCCACCTGAGATAAAAAGAACCAATTGTTAAAGAACACGTTTCCCCTTCTCTATACCAAGAAAGATTTGGTTTGAAAACTTTGGCTTATCTTCTACGGATTAATTTAAGTGTTCAAGTTAATTTGATTAGAGATCTACATATAAAGAGAGAAGAGGAATAAGAAGGCAGAAGAGATACTCTTTATTGGACACTATAGTGCTCTTTATTACTAGAGATTTAAAACCGTTATTGCTTAAATGCTATATTACTAATTGTGGGTTTTGTGTTTTTTTTTTGCCTGGGTCCCACCCTCCCTCCTTCACTCCTTTATTGGATGGAGGCGGAAGAGAGAGACTTTAGTTTTAAGGTGGTGGTGTTCTCCTCTTCCTCCTCTCTCCTTTTTATTAAGGATCGAGAAGGGGGAAGGTTCAGATACATTGTTATTTTTTGTATCCAGAGATCTTTGAATCCTTACTCTTTCGATCTCTAAAACATGCCTCCCAAAAAAAAAAAAAAAAAACACACCTCTATCTGCTGGTAATAATGAAAAGAATAAATCTATAAATGTACATTATTCTCCTAAATAAGAACCTAATAAATCTCATTTTTTTAGAAGATCTATATCCCCTCCTTTAGAGGAAGCTCAGGCAAATAAAGGACCTCGGGAATCTTCAGCAGAGTCTATAACAAACCTAAGCCTGAAGAAGATGATGGATGAACTTTATGAAAAAGATTTAAAACAAGATCTAGTGGAAGTAATTAAAGAGGTGTCCATTTTTAACTCTAAATTGCTAGAGCAGAGCTTGAGAGAAAAAAAAAAAAAAAAGTTTAGAAGTTACTCTGCTTCAGTCCCAAAATATATCCCACCCCTCCCCAAAAAAAATAAAAAAAATAAAATCAGTTAGAGGTGGATAACAAATTAACACAGCTGGAAGACAGATCCCATAGAAACAATGTAAGACTTAAAAAGGTATAACGGAGGATGTAAAAAAAAAAAAAAAAAAAAAAAAAGATAGTTTACCGGGATGTGTCAGCCATTTCCTCTTGGATGCCAGTTAGGGTCTAGGGTCCCTGTGTACCCAGCAGCAGGAGGTTGCTGTGGGCACCAGTATGGGTCAGTGGTTGGGTTTGGCTCCTAGTTGGCACTGATCTTCAGGCCCTGAAGCGGGAGCTCGGACAGAGCACGTCTGATCCTGTTGGCGGTCAGGCCCCATCCCCCTTTTTATGTTAATAAATTTGGTAATTTCACGTTGATCGATTATAATGTGTGTATAAAATGCTTTTTTGTTTCTGTGGTGTTAGCTTAATAAAGATCTGGTTTCAGTCAAAACGTTGCAATAAACTGCCTGGAAGAATTCACAGTGAGTGCCTGAGATTTTTTTCAATTACATATGCCCATGTCAAGTTATATGTTCCAAAGGATTTCTCCCATATAAGAAGTTTTTTTGGAAAGTGGAGAAAATTAAAAAGTGGGTTTTACTCAGTGGTGGCGATTGAAATACAGTGTTAGTTGTTAAGATGAATAAAAATTCTAAAGTTTCTAAGCGTATGTTAACTTTATACAAATCTCGCACAAAATAGCTTCAAGAAAACAGTAATTTTACTTACCGCAAATTCATCTTTTCTCTTAGTATAGTGGCAGTACTTACAAGTGGGATGTTCCTTCTAGTTGAAACAAGAAGCTCCCCCTTCTTTTTAGGATAATTGAAGTGCTCTGCCTGCTGGCCCAATATATAACCTGCCAGTCAGAGGAGAACTCCAGTAATCCAAAATAACCAAAACAGAGACTGAATACTACAAAATTAATTAATCCATATAAAAGTGGAGGGAAAAACTAGTACTGCCACTATACTAAGAAAAAATGAATTTACGGTAAGTAAAATTACTGTTTTTCCTCTTGTATAGTGGCAGTACTTACAAGTGGGATATAGCGAGATCCCTGGAAACAAAACAAAAGGGTGGGGACTCAGAAGGCCACTGCCTGAAGCACCTTACGCCCAAAAGCAGCTTCAGGTGATGAGAAAAATGTCCAGCCTATAATGTTTAATAAAAGGTATGAAACGATGACCAAGTGGCTGCTTTACAGAGGTCTTCAGATTAAAGAAGTACTTGAAATAACCTTGGGCAAAAAAGGAGGCCTGGGGTGCAGGACAACTTTATCTTGATGAAAAATGGTGAATTCAGGAGAGGAGGATAGAGCCTGAATTTCACCTATCCTCCTTACAGAGGCGATCGCCACAAGGATTGCGGTCTTGAAGGTAAGAAGCTTTAAGGGAACCTCTAGTAATGGTTCAAACGGTGGTTCACAAAGGGCTTGAAGCACCAAGGACAAATCCCAGGTAGGAAAAGGGACTATCTTGGGAGGCCGCTTGAGCCGTATGGCTTTTAAAAAAAAAAAACCTGTGGATAAGCAGGTCAGAGGCAATGTCATGAACCAGGAAATGACTTAGGGCTGAAATCTGTCCCTTGAGAGTAGAGACCCCTAGTCCGGTTTCAAACCCATCCTGCAAAAAGGACAGAATTTCTGGGACTGATGCTCTGACAGGATCCGAACCTCGAATGCAACACCAGGACCTGAACTTTAACCAAACCCTGACATAAACTCTTGACGTGGGCAAGCGGACTGAAGACAGCAACACGTCACATAAGCGATCTGAGAGACCATGTCCTTGGAGGATCAACCTTGCAGAAGCCATGCTGTCAGGTGGAACATTGCAAGGGTTTCTAAGGGAAGAGTCACCCGCTCTATCACGTTGGTAGAGATTGGGAGAGTCCAACTTGAGATGGTCATGTTTTCCAGCACCTTCATAGCGATCGCGAGATGAGATCTTAGAAGAAGTTGTTCCGATTGGGCTTTCAAGAACCAGTCGTCCAGATACGAAACTATCGAAATACCCTCCAGGCGCAAAGCAGATGCTATGGCTGCCAGGATTTTAGTAAGTGTATGAGGAGCCGATGACAGGCCAAAGAGTAGAGCCTTGAACTGAAAATGGAGAATTCTTTGCTTTCCTGTTAAAACTGCAAATCTGAGGAACTTCCCGGAGGACTCTGACATTGGAACATGGAGGTAAGCATCTTTTAAGTCTAGCTTTGCCATGAATACCCTTTTTGCAAGATGTGCGTGACAGACAGAATATTCTCCATATGAAACCTTTGATAGGGTATGCAGGCGTTGACCTTTTTTAGGTGCAGGATAGGCCGAAAAGATCAGTCTGGTTTTTGTACCAAGAACAGGCGAGAGTACACAGCTTGAAATTCCCATTGTTTTGGTATCTTTTCTATAATTTTTTTTGCAAAAGAAAAAGAGCTTCTGCCAGGAGAGCCTGACAGTAGGATGGATGGATGGTTGTGGTATTGCAGAGAACTTTATTCTGTAACCCTCTGAAATAGTTCTTAGAGTCCACCCGTTGGATGTTATCTTTACCTATTTGTGGGCAAAGAACTGAAGGCGTCCTCCTACTCTCTTGGCGTCAGAATTTCCTCTTTTTTCTTGTCTGTTGAAATCCTGCCTAGACCATTGGCTGCTGTTTTTTTAAATCTGCGAGAACGCCCTTGGTAACGAAAGGAACGCTGACCCTTGAACTGATTTCTTTTATATTTTTGGGGTCGTGACTCCAGAGGTAGCGCCTTCTTAGTTTCTGACATTTGTCTGATAATGTCTTCCAAAGGAGTGCCAAAGAGCTTGTTCCTCTCAAAGGGTAGTTCACACAGGGCTGCCTTAGATGCTGAATCAGCTGTCCATGTTCGTAGCCACAGAGCTCTTCTGGCCACAGATGACAAACCCATGATTCTGGCTGATAAACGAAGAATCTCATCAGAGGCTTCCGAAAGAAATTTGTTTGATAATTTTAGGAGGAACATAAGATGGGCAGGGTTTGAATCAGACTTACCCATGAGGGAGTCTTCAAGGGCTTGGAGCCAACTGCTCTGTGCCCTGAGAACCGCTGAGCCTGCTATTTCGGCTCTGCACTGGTAGCCTGTGGCCTGGAAAATTCTTCTACACAAAGTTTCGGCTCTAGTCCATTGGGTCTTTCAGTCCCGAGACCTCACCAATGGGTATAGTAGTCTTTTTTGACAGCTGGGCTATCTGAATGTCCACCTTGGGAAGATCCTCCCATTTCTCTTCAGACTGTAGTTTGAAAAGAAGTTTAAAATGTTTTGAAATAAACGCACGCCTTTCAGGATTCTTCCATTCTTTTTGAAGGAGATCCATTATTTTAGGAGGCATAGGGAAACCTTTAACCTTACCCTTGGTAGGTTCTGGTTCCTGAACAGCTGTCGATACTTCTTTAATAAATTTTTTTAGGCTCTTCTGGTGGAAAACCCTCTTCCACACTCGAAGCTACGCTGGAAATATCAGAAGGCGAGGAGGAAGATCATTCTCCTGATGAGATATCAGATAGAGAGGGAGATCTATCTCTCCTACGTTTCTTAATCTGCTTCTCCTGAAAGGTCGGTTCTTTCTTAACAGCATCTTTAAAAGATTCAAAAGTCTGGGATATATTTTCCTGGAACCAGCACAGGAAGGAAGACATATCAGTTTGCTTGTTTTTTTCTAGCAATTCCATAGCATACTGATTACACGTCATTTTGCGACATCCATCAGGTAGAGGGACCGCACATTCCAGACAACATAAGTGCTTTGATTTGTGGCTTTTTTTTTTTTGGAACAGAGGCAGACATCTTATCTTTTTCTGCCTTATCCGGTAAAATAGGACTGGACATATCTGTAAAGAAACAACAGACATTTATATAGGAGCATGCAAAAGTGATAGGTGATAAGGGAGAGTTTAAAGAGTTAAATCTCACCTCAAACCACCTTAGAGCCATGTAGGAGGGCTGGTGACACGGAGAACCAGGACTGTACACCCACCCTTGGGGCCAGATAGGTTCTGCACAGCTTTATATAGGCCCAAATTTAAATTTTGGCGCCAAAATCTTGAACACCGTTTTGTACATGCACAGTAGCGCGATTCTGTGTAACGCAAAACCACCCGGGCATGCGTTCCACCGCTGTGTGCATGCGCATAGCTCCTTGGTGGGAGGTTCGCCCGGAAACTCCCAAAGATGCCACAAAAATGGATATCCGGTTGTGTTTCATAACGGGAATCCCGAAAGTATCAGTGCCGCTCAGCTCCCACCCGGGGAGCTACCGGGCCTCACCTGGATCCTGGGGGGGGGAACTTGTCTGTCCTGTTTGCCGGGACAAGAAGAATTGGAGTTCTCCTCTGACTGGCAGGTTATATAGAGGCAGCAGGCGGAGCACTTCTTGTCCCAACTAGAAGGAACATCCCACTTGTAAGTACTGCCACTATACGAGAGGAAACTTTTTGTTCATTTTGATTTATATGACATTTGGAGAACTCAACATCCGAAAGTTAGAGATTTTACTTTTTTTCTTCTAAAGTTCATTTAAGCTACTCTAGAATTGATTTATTCATTACGGACGCATCAACTCTAAATAGGTTTGTACGCTCTGAAATTGGGTCTATTTGGTCAGATCATGCTGTTATAAATGTTTCTATAGACAATAATTCTAATTTTAAATCTAGACCTCAATGGAAATTAGAGGACTATCCTACTGATAGAACAAAATAGAGCTTACTTAGAATATCTAGTTAAGGACTATCTAAAGTTGAATGATAATGGTCAGGTCTCTAATGAGACTGTTTGGGTATCATTTAAATGTGTCATGAGGGGGTATTTTATCCAATTGGAAGCTAAAGCCACGAAAGCAAGAGGTGCTAATTTAGCAGACCTCTATATCCAACTTGCAAAATGTTAACAGCTACAGATTAACCCCTTAAGGACCAAACTTCTGGAATAAAAGGGAATCATGACATGTCACACATCCTTAAGGGGTTAATGCAATAGAGTTCCAGATCAAATATGTTTTCAAAGAAAAAGTCAAATGATCAATTACACATTTCAATCAATGATGGTATGCTAGTAATAACAGAGTGGGGAAATCTCTTCTCCAAAAAAAACTTAAACCTGACTTAAAGAAAAATAGAATTTAAAAATTTTTTTTATAGAAGGTGGAAGAATACATCTGTTCCCTCAAAACATTGGTAAGGCTTTTGCAGAGTATTATGCCTCCCTTTATAACCTTCAGGAAATTAGGGTTTCTCCTATTGACTTTGATTCTTTTTTTGTTAAACTTTCTCTTTCCAAAATTGATTTGCTAAAACTAAACACTCTGAATAAACCCATCACAGTGGAAGAAATTAAAAGAGTAATTATGAATCTTAAAAATAAGGCTTACACGGCTTTACAGCATATTTTTACAAAACATACAAACCAATTATTACTCCCCTATTATGCAATGTATTTGCAGAAAAAGAGGAATACAAGGGTTTCTCTTCTGATATGCTGAGTGCAACGATTTCACCAATTCCAAAACCAGGCAAGGATTCATGTTATATAAGCAACTATCGTCCAATCTTGCTTATTAATCAAGATACAAAAATATTTTCCAAAATCTTGGCAGATAGACTTAGTTTGGTTATTTCTAACGTAACTCAATCAGGATTTATCAAAAATCGAGAACGGCTTGTGATAATGTTCGTAAGATTTTAAATTTAAACGTTCGTTGCCACCAAAGATATCCTTCCGTCGGTTTTCATTGCGGTCAACCCCGGAAAAGGCGTACAGAGTTAACTGGAATTTTTTTTTTATCAGCTACCCTTTCCGCTTTTGGAATTGAAGGAAAATGTAAAGATCTTGCACTGTCACTATATTCTAGTCCTTCAGCAAAGGTCTATGGAAATGGCTTAGATTTTGCTTGGTTTCCTATTAGAAATGGCACCCGACAAGGGTGTCCATTAGCACCTTTACTTTATATTTTAGCTATATAATCCCTAGCAGCATTTATTAGACTTACTAGAAACATCTCAGGCGTCTACTTAGCCAATCAAGAACAGAAAACAACAATGTTTGCAGAAGATATAATTTTGACCTTGATAAATCCAGATGTTTGCATTCCAGCTGTGATGGGTTGTATAGAGGAATTTAACATTCATAAGACTCAAGTTATTCACAATAATCTTTTTCACCTACAGAATATATCTCTTTCTGAAGCGTTCAAATTTAATTGGTCTAATAAATTCATATATCTTGGCATTAAGATTAATTTTAATATTGGTTCTTGGATCCAGGACAATTATAGCGAACTCCTACAAGAGCTCAAAAGCTTGACAGATAAATGGAGTAAAGTGCAACTCTCTTGGCTTGGGAGAATAAACATTCTAAGATCATATTAGCTTCCTAAATTGGAGTATCTTTTTCAAAACAATTCCTCTCAGGAGTCCCAAGAGAAATGGTAAAGTCCTTTCATAAATTGTTTACATCGCATGCTTGGGAAAATAAGAAGCAGAGAATTGCGTTCAAGACAATGACAACTAGGACTTCAGAAGGAGGGCTATCTTTTCCCAATGTTTTCCTTATATATACGATTCTGTTCTGTTCTTCCATTTTCTTGAATGGGGAAACAGAAACTCCAGTACAAAATCTTGGTATAAATATGAAAGAAATGTATGTAGTAAACTCAACCCTTTCCATTTTTTTTGGGTTGATAAAAATATTTTGAGAAATCTCAGTATAGATAATCTAGTTATTAATCAAGTATTCCAATCTATAGATCCTAGAAAATAAACTTTTTCTTCAAATAACCAACTCTCTAAACATACTCCACTGACCGTTTTTACATTTTTTTTATTCAAGATCTTAATTTAACTGATTGGTTAGAGTTAGGATTAGTTAAAATGAAGTTTATTTACTTTGCCGAGAGTATAAGTAAGTTTTCCGGTATTCAATCAAGATCAGGTCTCTCCAATAAAGAACTATTTACATATATGAGAATATCGGACTTTCTTCATAAAGTTCCAACTTCTATTGGGTGAACAAGAAAACATTTCCTCCAAGATTAGTAAAGTTATACATTCCTCAAACCAGGATACAAAATCTAGATCCATCATAGAATGGGAAAAATATATGGGGGAAAACATTCTCTCTTCAGCCATGGACAAATGCTTTCAAAATACTTGGAAAATCTACTCATTGTGTAAATATGGTTTTCTTAAAACTTACTCACAGATGGTATATGGTCCCTACTAAGCTATCTAAATCCCAACCAAATGCTTCTAGCCAGTGTTGGAGATGTAATAGGAATCTTGGTTCATAAAACATATTTGGTGGGATTGTGATAAACTGAACATCCTTAAATCAGAAGTTACTAAAATTAAATGTTGATTTGACCTCAGAGAGGTTTCTCTTTTATTTGAACCTTCCTCCTTTGTCGAAACCATCATTATATCTTACCATACATATATTAATGGCTGTTAAGCTTTGTATGGCCAGATACTGGAGAAACTCCCCAATATACAAGTAATTAAAGCTCAGATTAATTATCAAGGAGTGATGGAGAAAGCAATATTTTATAGTGAAAATAATATATCTAAATATAATGTGATTTAGGATGCTTGGTTTACATATTATAAGAGTTAATTATTCCCAAATATCATATATTACCCTGTCTACGTTGATGAACATCTTACTCCTTTTTGTCTCTTATTTTTTGTTTCCCTTCTCCCAGAAGATGATCTCTCTTTTTCCTTAATTTTTTTGGGCCTGCCACATTTGTCTCAGTATTTTATGTTTATGTGTAATTGTTGTGGTGTCTGTTATGTTAATGTTTAGATATAAAATGTTTATGAACATGTAATATACGTGCAGCTGTAATACGTTAACATGATAATCATATAAGCACTTAATACTAGTATTGGTATGTTCTTTATTACATTATGATGTACTACTATGCACTTTAATTAGAAACTACTTGAATAAACAAAAAAACAAGCCTTTGACGTCTGTCCACATCTGCAGGGGTTAAAAGTAAGAATTTTTTCTTTCCTAACTGTCTGCAATCTGTTGCAGTGGCACACCAACTCCCTTATTTTTCCACAGATCAAGATAACCTTGTATAGTTTAGAGAAGACGTGCTATACAGGTGATACTCGAAAAATTAGAATATCGTGCAAAAGTTCTTTTATTTCAGTAATGCAACGTAAAAGGGGAAACTAATATATGAGATAGACGCATTACATGCAAAGCAAGATAGTTCAAGCCGTGATTTGTCATGAGTGCGATGATTATGGCCTACAGCTCATGAAAACCCCAAATCCACAATCTCAGTAAATTTGAATATTGTGAAAAGGTGCAATATTCTAGGCTCACAGTGTCCCACTCTAATCAGCTAAGTAAGCCATAACACCTGCAAAGGATTTCTGAGCCTTTAAAGGAACACTATAGTCACCTAAATTACTTTAGCTAAATAAAGCAGTTTTAGTGTATAGATCATTCCCCTGCAATTTAGGAGTTAAATCACGTTGTTTCTGTTTATGCAGCCCTAGCCACACCTCCCCTGGCTATGATTGACAGAGCCTGCATGAAAAAAAAAAAAAAAATCTGGTTTCACTTTTAAACAGATGTAATTTACCTTAAATAATTGTATCTCAATCTCTAAATTAAACTTTAAATCACATACAGGCGGCTCTTGCAGGGTCTAGCAAGCTATTAACATAGCAGGGGATAAGAAAATCTTAATTAAACAGAACTTGCAATAAAGAAAGCCTAAATAGGGCTCTCTTTACAGGAAGTGTTTATGGAAGGCTGTGCAAGTCACATGCAGGGAGGTGTGACTAGGGTTCATAAACAAAAGGGATTTAACGCCTAAATGGCAGAGGATTGAGCAGTGAGGCTGCAGGGGCATGTTCTATACACCAAAACTGCTTCATTAAGCTAAAGTTTTTCAGGTGACTATAGTGTCCCTTTAAATGGTCTCTCAGTCTGGTTCAGTAGGAATCACAATCATGGGGAAGACTGCTGACCTGACAGTTGTGCAGAAAACCCATCATTGACACCCTCCATAACCATGGAAAGCCTCAAAAAGGTAATTGTCAAGGAAGTTGGATGTTCCCAAAGCACATTAATAGAAAGTTATGTGGAAGAGAAAAGTGTGGAAGAAAAAGGTGCACAAGCAGCAGAGATGACCGTAGCCTGGAGAGGATTGTCAGGAAAAAGCCATTCTGTCAGGTATAACTTAAAATACATTCGCCGTAAGAACCCACTTCCGGGTTCACGGCGCTTAGCTCCTCCCCTTTCTCTGACGCGGTCCCTCCACGATACTTAGGGAGACCGCGCCAGATTCAAAACGCTGGATTATTACACAGGTACCTGAAAAGTGATCAGCTGTTTTACTCCATCCTGCCTGTATCAAACCACGGATTGCTAAACGGACTTCCACTCTCTTCACTCCAAGGCCACGGATTGCTAAACAGACTTCCACTCTCTCCACTCCTAGACCACGGATTGCTAAACGTACTTCCACTCTCTCCACTCCTAGACCACGGATTGCTAAACGGACTTCCACTCTCTCCACTCCTAGACCACGGATTGCTAAACAGACTGCTCCTCTCTCCACTCCTAGACCACGGCTTGCTTAATGGACTATCTTCTCATTCCATCGGGTGAAAATAACCCTTAAGTTCCAGAACTTGCCTTATTAAGTTAAGTATTTCTGTTCCAATTAATCCACTGTGTCATTCTCTCTAATTAAGTTTCTTATTCTAATTGATCTACTTATAACAATAATTCACCCTCCAATAATCAACTCAATTATTATTACAACTTCTCCTGCTTCATTTATTACTATTTGATTCCACAGAAGGGAATTTAAGTGACATCTGAAATTAACAGATTCTTTTAGTTACACACAAATTCTAAGCTACATGTGTAATTAAGGTAATAGTAATTACTCCTTTTTCAATATAAAAAGAGGTGAATCTAGCAAATACTTCAATTAGGAAACTCTGCAGTTGTGTTCCAATTAACAAATAAGTATCACAGAATAATCCAGCCTTTTTACAATGGAACCAGCAGATATTAACGCTCAAGTTTCTGCCCTAACCAATAGAGTGGATACGATTGCTCAGGGTTTACAGGAACTGCAAATTACAAATGAGAGAATATTAACTCATGTTAGAGACATGCAAGGTCACCTTCCTCATGCCGCTCTTCAATCGGTTGGCGATCCTGCTGTCTGTAATCCTGAAAATTTTTATGGAGATAGAACAAAGTACAGAGAGTTTTTGAATTCTTGCAAACTCCTAATAGCCTTAAAACCTAGATCTTATCTCACCGAAAGATCCAAAGTTTGTTCAGTGATCTCTTTTTTAAGAGGTGAACCTATGGCATGGGCCCATTCCTTTTTAGAGAATGATGATCCCATATTAGATTCATTGGATGAGTTCTTTGAAGCTATGTCTTTACTTTATGAAGACCCTTATAAACAGGCTACTGCTGATTTAACCATCAGAACTCTCCACCAAAAGAATAGACCTGTTGAAGACTATATTGCAGAATTCAAAAGATGGGCTACAGAAACCCAATGGAATTACATTTCTTTACGCAATCAATTCCGTCTCGGATTATCAGAAGCTGTGAAGGATGAACTCTCTCGTACTGAACTTCCTCCCACCTTAAATGCATTGATTCAACTTTCCATTAGTATTGATAGACGTCTAAGAGAAAGAAGAGCTGAAAAAGTTCTTACTAATTCTACCTGGAGAAAACCTATCACTTCTCCTAAAATCACTGAAAAATTCTCTACTCAAACCGAACCTATGGAAGTAGGTATAATAAGAAGTCCTCTTACTTCTGAAGAAAGAATAAGAAGGAGACAATTAAACTTATGTATGTATTGTGCCTCGAAAGAACATATAATTCCCGATTGTCCTCTACTGAAACATTCAAAAAGTGGTAAGCATCATTCATCTACTTCAATATTGAACGTACTACAAAAAAGAAAAACATCTACTTATTTTTCTATATCTCTCATATTACAGTGGGATACAAAAAGAATCGTGACTGAGGCTATAATCGATTCTGGTGCCAGTGGAACCTTTCTTGATTTTTCTTTTGTTACAAAAAATAAAATTCCTTGTGTTCGAAAAACTCACTTTGTTCCAATCAGAGTTATTGATGGTTCATTTATATCCTCTGGACCCATAAAAGATGAGACAATTCCTATAAAAGTAACTACCAACAACGTTCATACCGAATTCCTTACATTTGATGTTATTAAATCTCCACTTTATCCGGTCATTTTAGGAATTAATTGGTTAAAAACCCATAATCCTCTAATTGAATGGTCTCCTTTTACCATCTCTTTCTCCTCTGATTTCTGTAAAAAAACGTGTTTTCAACATATTCCTATTCTCCAAATTACTAAAGAACCAGTTATACCTACATTCTACTCCGAATTTTCAGATGTCTTCTGTAAAAAAGAAGCAGAAACACTTCCACCTCATCGGGTATATGATTGCCCAATTGATCTAATACCTGGAGCTCCCATTCCTTATGGTCACATCTACCCACTTTCTGAAAAGGAATTAGAAATCTTAAAGGAATATCTTAATGAAAATTTACGTAAAGGGTTCATCAGACCCTCGACATCCCCGGCTGCTTCTAGTATATTCTTCGTGAGAAATAAAGATCAAACCATCCGTCCCATTATAGATTACAGAGCCTTAAATAAAATAACAATAAAAAACCGTTATCCTCTTCCGCTAATAAATGAATTAATTGAAAGATTAAGAACTGCAACTATATTCACTAAACTCGACCTTCGGGGCGCTTATAACCTCATTAGAATAAAACAGGATGATGAATGGAAGACCGCTTTCCGAACAAGATATGGTCTATACGAATATCTTGTAATGCCTTTTGGGCTTTGTAATGCCCCTGCTACATTCCAACATTTCATAAATGATATCTTTAGAGATCTCCTGGATATATGTGTTATTATCTATTTAGATGATATCTTAATATATTCTAACAATCTGGATGAACATAGGAAGCATGTAAGATGGGTTCTATCTAGATTGAGAACTCACAAATTATACGCTAAACCTGAGAAATGCCTTTTTGAGGTTACCAAATTATCTTTCCTAGGATATATTATTTCACCTCATTCCTTAAAAATGGATAACTCAAAAATTGAATGTATTATTAACTGGCCCGTTCCTGCTACTACTAAAGAATTACAGCGATTTCTTGGATTTGCAAATTTCTATAGGAAATTTATTAGAAACTACTCAGATGTATCACGTCCACTTAATCTTCTTAACAGTAATAAACGTCCTTTTAATTGGAATAAAGAAGCCCAAAAAGCCTTTACTGAATTAAAAAAAAGATTTACAACCGCACCTATTCTACAACTACCTAATCCAACATTCTTATATGTTCTTGAAGTAGATGCATCAGATTCAGTTATCGGAGCAGTTCTTTCTCAACAAAAGACACCTCAAGATCCACTTCATCCAGTTGCCTTCTTTTCAAGATCCTTGAGCTCTGCTGAGAAAAATTATCCTATTGGTGAAAAAGAATTGTTAAGCGTTAAAGCTGCCCTTGAAAATTGGCGTCATCTTCTTGAAGATACAAAACAACCTATAGTTGTTTATACTGATCATAAAAATCTCGAATATCTGTATACTAACAAAACCCTTACAGCTAGACAAGTTAGATGGAACCTCTTTTTTAACCGCTTTAACTTCCAATTAGTATACAGACCTGGAACTAGAAATCAAAAAGCTGACGCCCTCTCTCGAATTTCTTATAAAACTTCTATTGATGATTATCCTTCTAACAAAATAATTGGAATCCTTTCCTCTCTTCAAGATGACTTAAAGAATTTGAATCAAAAAGATCTTGAACTTCCCAAAACACCTATATTAACAAAAAAGGATGGTATATTTTACTTTAAAAATAAAATTTATATCCCTCCTATTTTTAGAAATAAATTACTTAAAATGGTTCATGACTCACCACTAGCCGGACATCCTGGGATTAAAAAAACTCTTGAACTAACTTCACGATATTATTGGTGGCCTCGCCAAAATAAAACCATTGAATTATATGTCAAAACTTGCCCTATCTGTCAAAGGTCCAAAACTGAACATAATCAACCTTTTGGGTTACTACTTAACTTACCTATTCCAGAAAAACCTTGGCAATCCATTTCTATGGATTTTCTTGTAGATCTTCCACCATCTCAGCATTCCACCACTATTCTTGTCGTTGTGGACCGCTTCACAAAAATGGCCCATTTTATTCCTTTAAAGAAATTACCCTCCTCCGTAGAATTATCCAAAGTCTTTATAGATAATATTGTAAAACTTCATGGTCTTCCTGAAGAAATTATTTCTGATAGAGGGACACAGTTTACCTCCAAATTCTGGAAAGAGATGTGTCTCTCCCTTCAAATTCAACGCAAACTCTCATCCGCCTACCATCCTCAAACTAATGGACAAACAGAGAAAGTTAATCAATGTCTGGAACAGTATCTTCGATGTTATTGTTCATACCTACAGGATGACTGGACCACATGGTTACCTATGGCCGAATTCTCTTACAACAATACTATTCATTCTAGTGCAAAAATGACTCCTTTCTTCTCGAACTATGGATTCCATCCATCTTCATTTTCCATCCAAAATAATATTTCATCCAATCCTACTGTTACATCAAAAAAACGAATTTATGTCCTCACTATTCCTCAAATTACGGGAGAATCTTCAACTTGCCCAAAATAACCAGAAAAGATATTTTGACAATAAAAGAAGAATTCCCCCTCCTTATAATGTAGGGGATCTGGTCTGGCTTTCCTCTAGGAATATTACCACAAACCGTCCTTCAAAGAAATTAAGCTCTCTTTTTCTTGGTCCTTTTAAAGTAAATACGATTATTAATGATAACGTTGTTAAACTGGACCTCCCTCCAAGTTTTAAACTTCATCCTGTATTCCATGTCTCTTTGCTTAAACCTCACCTCCCTGATCCTTTCAATAGGGATTTAGTAACTACTCCTGATCCTATCATTGTCCAAGGTGAAGAAGAATATGAAATACATAGAATTTTGGATTCACGTATCCACCGTGGCTCCTTACAATACCTTATTAGATGGAAGGGTTATGGTATTGATGAAGACACTTGGGAAGATTCATCTAATGTACATGCTAAGAGGTTAGTTGCTGCATTTCACAAACGTTATCCCTCCAAACCGAGATAAGTGCACCCAGAGGATGCCCCATGAGAAGGGGGTACTGTCAGGTATAACTTAAAATACATTCGCCGTAAGAACCCACTTCCGGGTTCACGGCGCTTAGCTCCTCCCCTTTCTCTGACGCGGTCCCTCCACGATACTTAGGGAGACCGCGCCAGATTCAAAACGCTGGATTATTACACAGGTACCTGAAAAGTGATCAGCTGTTTTACTCCATCCTGCCTGTATCAAACCACGGATTGCTAAACGGACTTCCACTCTCTTCACTCCAAGGCCACGGATTGCTAAACGTACTTCCACTCTCTCCACTCCTAGACCACGGATTGCTAAACGGACTTCCACTCTCTCCACTCCTAGACCACGGATTGCTAAACAGACTGCTCCTCTCTCCACTCCTAGACCACGGCTTGCTTAATGGACTATCTTCTCATTCCATCGGGTGAAAATAACCCTTAAGTTCCAGAACTTGCCTTATTAAGTTAAGTATTTCTGTTCCAATTAATCCACTGTGTCATTCTCTCTAATTAAGTTTCTTATTCTAATTGATCTACTTATAACAATAATTCACCCTCCAATAATCAACTCAATTATTATTACAACTTCTCCTGCTTCATTTATTACTATTTGATTCCACAGAAGGGAATTTAAGTGACATCTGAAATTAACAGATTCTTTTAGTTACACACAAATTCTAAGCTACATGTGTAATTAAGGTAATAGTAATTACTTCTTTTTCAATATAAAAAGAGGTGAATCTAGCAAATACTTCAATTAGGAAACTCTGCAGTTGTGTTCCAATTAACAAATAAGTATCACACATTCAAATGTTTTGGGGACTTTCACAAGGAGTGGACTGAGGCTGAAGTCAGTGCATCAAGAGCCACCACATACAGATGGATCCTGGACATGGGATTCAGATGTCGTATTCTTCTTGTCAAGCCGCTCCTGAACAACAGACAACATCAGAAGCGTCTTACCTGGGCTAAAGAAAAACAGACCTGGTCTGTTGCTCAGTGGTCGAAAGTCCTCTTTTCTGATGAGAGCAACTTTTGCATCTCATTTGGAAACCAAGGACCCAGAGTCTGGAGGAAGAATGGAGAGGCACACACTGCAAGATGCTTGAAGTCCAGTGTGACGTTTCCACAGTCTGTGTTGATTTGGGGAGCCATGTCATCTGCTGGTGTTGGTCCACTGTGCTTCATTAAGTCTAGGGTCACCGCAGCCGTCTACCAGGAGATTTTGGAGCACTTCATGCTTCCTTCCACAGACAAGCTTTATCAGGATGCTGACTTCATTTTTCAGCAGCACCTGCCCACACTGCCAAAAGCACCAAAGCTGCTTCAATGACCGTGGGATTACTGTGCTTGACTGGCCAGCAAACTCGCCTTACCTGAACCCCATAGAGAATCTATGGGGCATTGCCAAGAGAAAGAGGAGAGACACGAGACCGAACAATGCAGAAGAGCTGAAGGCTGCTATTGAAGTATCCTGGTCTTCCATAACACCTCAGCAGTGCCACATACCGCATTGAGGCAGTAATTGCTGCAAAAGGGGCCCAAACCAAGTACTGAGTCCATATGCATGTTTATACTTTTCAGAGGTCCGATACTGTTCTATGTACACTCCTTGTTTTATTGATTGCATGTAATATTCTAATTTACTGAGATTGTGGATTTGGGGTTTTCATGAGCTGTAAGCCATAATCATCGCACTTATGACAAATCACAGCTTGAACTATCTTGCTTTGCATGTAATGCGTCTATCTCATATTAGTTTCCCCTTTTACGTTGCATTACTGAAATAAATGAACTTTTGCACGATATTCTAATTTTTTGAGGATCACCTGTACATGTGCGGTAGACTAACTGACAATACGTAATGTTCTATGAATAATTACACTTTTTGCACTGAAACTTCTATGATTGGTTGATTTTGCCTTTTGTTGTTTACACCCTAAGAAAACTGTGTTTCATATATACAATGTACACATATTAAAAATGTTGAATACTTTTTGATCTCCATAATGACTGGCGTGTTCATTGAGTGTTCCCTGCAGTGAATTTACTCAGAGACAAGGAAAGCAGAATGTGTTAGTGCATAAGTCCGTGGCAGTGTAAGGGTTTCCAGATCCAGTGTAGAATTTTGAAGCTTAACATTGTTTTAGTACCTGGAGTTCCCGGATGTCCCTCCCTCCTCTGTAAGTAGTCATCTATTTTAAAAAAAATTTGACTTCTTACCTTGGGTCCACCAGGCACTGGTCTCCACCTCTCGTTTACTTTTCTCTATGAACGACCTTCTCCTGACATCTATTTGCTCACACACTGCCAACTCTCATCTGTAGGAATTTTCAAGGGCTACCTGGTTGTTATGAAACACCCTAAATGTGCCATCAGACTCTCTCCCATAGCCTGCAGTCTTTTAAAACACCTCTCTTTTGGAAACCCTACCATCTTTTTTGGTGACACTGCTCGCATTAAAAATTGCCTTCCTTCCCCAAATTGCTCTCTCTTTTCACTGTTCCTTTTTTCCCACACAACACTTAATAGCTTATTTAAATATAGGCATCTGATCTATCAGTCCCTTTTCCCCTCGACATATTGTTATTTCTCTCAACATACTGTTATTTCTCTTGTCTGTCTTTAACCCTTCTTCATAGATTGCAAGCTTGTTTGGACACGGCTGTCTTCAACACTTGTCTCTGTAAACATTTTGTATGTCAAATATCCCCATTCAATAATTGTAAAGTGCTGCCGAATATGTTGGCACTATATAAATGCTAATAATAATAATAATTAGTGAATTACCCTGGAAATCAGGGAGAAGGCATGAGAAATAACAATGCACCATGAAAGACCAGCGTAGTAAAGCTGGGATAGATACACTGCAGCAGGGCCAGTAAAAAGGAGCTGGGATACATACACTACAGCAGTGTCTGAAAAAATGAGCAGGGTTTCAGAGCAAGCCAAAGACTATTAATAAAATGGAGGTGCGGTCTGGAATGTAGAATGTTTTCTACTTCGGAATTTATAAATACCGATAGTAGTCCACAACAGTGTGTAAATGGAATACGTATTCAAATAAATTATCCTTTTGTACATTATTCAAATGAAAACGCGTAGCTGGAGCGGTTATATTTTACTTTCTTAGATAAGATGGAATAATGTCCACATTTTGTTTTCAGTCTAGAAATAATTACTGTACAAAAGCTTAATTTGTCAGAGATCGCTAATAAAACACAGTAAGATCCAAAGTGTAAAAGACAGCACATGCACACATTGATTAGTACTTAAATAATACACATCAACACCGCTGGATGTTCTGTGCACAACATATATAATGGGGCTATGTATAAACAGGCATTCTGGGGAAATGCTGTGAAAGTGGAGCAATTTGCAGGGACACCCCATTGGTTTCCACGGTGACTGCTCACTATTTTAGAATTTGGCCCCAGAATGATTCTTTATGGCTAACTCCCACAGAGTCTAATAAGCAGCCTTTGGGTGCTGTGTTCACCTTGTGCAAAGTCCGGTGTGCTCCCTGGGATTGCTGCGGGCTGTGTCCCTCTGGCCGGAATTACTGCCGATGAGGATGGTAACGGTACACCGACTGGTTAAATGGGTGTAGAGGTCAGGGTGCATCCCGGGGGAGGGACTTGGGCTCAGACAAAGCTGGGTCACATTCGGGATGCATGCCATACACCAGGGAGGGCCGTCTGCCGGGTTAACCCCCGCGGTGCCGGACATGGGAGGAGGCGCGATAGTAATCTCACTTCCGGGTTCCCCGTGTATACCGTGTGCCGGATGGTAGAGGAAGGCATGTTAGTCCGTGCTATAAGACAGCTCGCGGAGTCCCGGGCGGGCATGCTGTATGGGGGGCGGGGTGACGGCCAAGCGGTGACATGTGTGAAGGGCAGGTGCCCGGGCAGCTCTGATTTACTACCGTGTCTGGGGAGCATGGCGTGCGCGAGTTGGCGCCGTGGCTTAGTTGGTTAAAGCGCCTGTCTAGTAAACAGGAGATCCTGGGTTCGAATCCCAGCGGTGCCTCTCAGATGGAGAATGCATTTTTTGAGGTTAGCTCAGAATTTATTAACACGTCTAATATCAGGTCTCCGTAGATTATCTACATTCCATGTAGGGCGAAAGTCAAAACAGTTTGCACTCTTTCACAATAATCGTTTTTGTAATTATTTTATCAAGGTAGATTAAGATATCTCAGTAACACGTGCTATGTAGCGGTACAGTTCCATGCAACACACATTTGTTCACAGCAATTTATTAAGTTTCCACAATAGACAAACAACATTTAGGTCACAGACATAATTAAAAAAATTTTTTTTTTTTAAATTGCTAACCTGACCAAATAGCTTGATTTGGTTAATATTTTCATTTTGGCCTGCATTTTGCAGTTTCCTAGTCAAATACCAGCAATTCACGGTTTAATGCAAAATCTCACTGCTTAGTAATTAAACCCCAGAATGAATAAGCAGACTTTGTATCCTGTGATAGCTGTGTGAACCTTGCTCTCAGTTTTTATTATCATGTGACAGAGATGCTTCTGTGTTTCAGGAAACTGGTCTGTTAGTCTGCAAGAGGTAGAAAATTCGAAGAAATCTGGTTTTCTGGAAGCCAAATAAGCGAAACGACGGTATTATATTATTTTATATATGAAAAATACTAACACTATAACGTTACATCTTTCTGAGTGACTTCTTTCATATAGGGTTAAATGCTAGGAGCAGATGTGAAAAGGATTCCTGCCTTGATTTGCCAATCAATTATTAAATTTGAATAATGTTTGTTTTTTTTGCAAACCAAAGAATTACCAAAGTTTTTTTTTTTTTTTTCTTTTCTCTAGGTAATTTTATCTTGACAGATGATGGATCATAGATAAACAACACATTTGTAGCTTGTTTATGATAAAGGACTTCAAAGTCAGCAAGTTTTCAATTGTCAAAAAATCAAAAAGGCCTTTACCATGGATCTCGATAGAATATGGAAAACAATACTTGGAGAACACAAAGCTAAGACTGGAGAAACTCTCAGAAATCTACAAGGGGGCATTGTTCTGTCACCTTGGTATCTGAGGGTTTTTGGTATTACTGATGGAAAACTAAAAGCCCCTCAGGAGATCTTTGAAACAGCTCCCCTCATGCATGTGGTGCCACCGAACAGGACAACCACTTATGGTGCTCTTGATTGAGAAGGGAAGGATCTACCAAATATAGAGTTTGGCAGATCTCACAACATTGGATTTATAATACTCGACAGAAGTTGTAATAAAAATACAAATTGTTCAACAATGTTTCATTTCACTGTTTTTGATAAGGGTAAATATTTCATGCACATTTTAGTGCACTTTCAGGGACACTCAGACACGTCAAATACTTTAGCTTGCTGAAAAGCTTTGTGTGACTGTGTGTCTTATTTTTATTTTCATTTGGAAAAAAGGTGCAGATTTCAATAGAAATTAACACTTTTATAAATTAACCTGGTTACACCCCCATAGCTTGGATGTTCGGGTCTGGCGGGTTCGGCCAAACTTTGAAAAAAAGTCCGGGTTCAGGCTTGAACTTGACCCCGAACCCCATTGAAGTTAATAGGGGACCTGAACTTTTGGCCACAAAAATGCCTCTGTAAAACTCCTGGAAAGGGCTAAAGAGCTGCAAAAGGAAGTAAAATGGGGGTAAGAGTAGGACAAGTGCCCTGCAAACAAATGTGGACAGGAAAATCACTTAAAATAACATAAATACCTAAAAATTAAAAATACAGCTGAGCCATAAAATAGCACTAGATGGAATCTTTGATTTTAGCTTTGGAAAAACATAAATCAAAATCTAAAGCATGGCTGTTAGGAGGATCACCAGACTTATCAATTTGAGAGAGGGTTGGAGTGCAGGGTATTCTCTTTCATTGTTCAAACTGAGCTCAACTCCTGATGCATGGAGAAAGGGCCTTCACAAGCCTCTGCTATTGTGTACATAGTTTATACTAAGTGACCCATAGGTTGAGGAGGCGGTGACCGTGGCGGTGTAGGTGGAAGCCGCAGTGGAGGAGGACGATGAGGTAGCCAACACTTTTTTTTTTAATTGGGATAGCCCCCCAAATATTGGGACATATAAAAAAAGATACATTTGCGGTCTGCGGTGCATTTCTTGTAGTCCTAATGCATGGAGAAATGTTCAACTCCTGATGCATAATGAAAAGGCCTTCACAAGCCTCTGCTATTGTGTACGTAGTTTATACTAAGTGACCCATAAGTTGAGGAGGCGGTGACCGTGGCGGTGTAGGTGGAAGCGGCAGTGGAGGAGAAGAATGAGGTAGCCAACACTGTTTTTTTATTTGTGTGTTTTTTTTTTTTATTGTGGTAGCCCACAAAATATTGGGACATACAAAAAAAGAAGCATTTGCGGCCTGTGGTGCATTTCATGCAGTCCTGATGCATGGAGAAATGCTCAACTCCTGATGCATGGAGAAAAGGCCTTCACAAGCCTCTGCTATTGTGTACATCGTTTATACTGAGTGACCCATGGGTTGAGGAGGCGGTGACCGTGGCGGTGTAGGTGGAAGCAGCAGTGGAGGAGGAGGAGGAGGTAGCTGTAACGGATCACCTGGCACCCTGACTGGGTACCTCCGTTGAAGGATGCTCCTAGCGCTTCCTGAGGACTCCAAGCACTACAGCAGACACCAAAACCACCGAACCGTAGGAGCATATGAATGCTCTAAAGCATATGAATGTTGTATACAGCTGAATAGGAAAAACCATGCGAATAGGTTTACACTCCTAGCAGTCAAACTGGAACAGCATACAATGAATCCTCCCCCAATAATGAGACGACACTTCACTTTGAGGGTTAAGCAGGAACTGACTGGACTGGCACATACAGCCTCTTTTATTCCCAAACCCTCAATTTCCATGAGTGAAGCGCTTCAGTGTAAATTTAGAAGTTGTGAATATATGTATGTAGTGCCAAGAAGCACTTACCATCTATACAATGCTTGTATTCCCGTGTATATATATAGGGAAAAGAAAAACAGATATATACAAATAATAGTGCAATATGTCGAGAAAATTTATTGTTTAATTATATATGTGAGTTAGAATGTAAATTAACTCACATTTTTTAGAGCCTTTTACAGTGGTAAGGCTCTAAACTTCCAAGCGTCTGTGTCTTTTGGGTAGATCACACAACCCCTCTCTCTCAGTGATGGAACGTCTGTTGTTCTCCAGAGTGTGTTAAGATAAAACAGAGAAAAAACGTCCAAACTAAGTGTAGTATTTAAAATACCAATGCGTATCAGTGTGGATAAAATCCAGAAAAGTGCTCACCTTATTTAGAGCCTTTTTATAACTGGCTCTAAGTATGTAGGTTCAGTGTCAGTTTATAGGGTGACACTATCCCTTTCTTGAATCACTTGTGCAGGATGCAGGAAGTGTAATATATAACAAATATGTTTATTATCAATATTAAAATGTATACAGACTATTTATAAAAACAAAAAAAGGGATATATAAAAACATATAAGTAATACTAATGTATTAAGTGGTCTGGCATGGATCCACTTGCAGCCAAAACGCGTTTCACCGAAAATCGGCTTCCTCAGTCAGCTTCAGGACGTCTTCTGTCTTCTATTGCTTTTTTTTTTGTGCAAATATACACAAAATCCTCCCCTCTGCTTGTGATCTAATTATGGCACACAATGGGTTAACATAATTATCACCAGCAGGAAAAATACAGTTTTTCCACATTATTCATAACTTGAAAAGTATGCATCACATTCACATAAAACTTACATTTTCAGAATCAGCATACTCCAAATACAAACATATGTCAAAACATATTGGTCAAGTGGTTCAAAAGATAGATCGTAGTCCTTTGTGACCAAAGGAAGCATGGCTTTTCTGCCCAAAACCAGTTCCACAGAGTCTTCTATCCTGGAGATAATTGGGAAGTAATCCACTTATCTCCAAGGACAGAGGCAAAACTTCATTGAACACATGGCAGCAAAATACAATAAAACACATAAAAACATATAACTGTACAGCCTTTGCACAAAACAGGTACATTCAACATATCCCCAGATAGCTCAGATCTGAGCGCACATTATTACTGAATGGCGCTCAGAGCACACACATACAGTTCAATTGCCATGGAGCCAAAGTCTTTCCCATAGTCTTTCATTATACGAATGGGCTCCATGACATAGCTATCTGGGTAACACTGCTCACGTAGGGAAAGTACCGAAAGACCCAGCTTTTGGGTCTTTGCAGGGGAAAATCCATCCTTTCAACATGGGGCCATAATCACAGGGCAGGAGGCCGGCAATCAGTCTTCTCCAATGCCCAGTGGCGAGGCTGGTTCCGCCACAGTAGCCAACACAGTTTTTTATGTTTTTTGTTTTATTTTAATTGTGGTAGCCCACAAAATATTGGAACATATAAAAAATACAATTCTGTTCCGCAGAGTAGCTGTTGACATTATAGTTGCGCAGGCACTTTGACTCTAGAGAACCTCGGGCCAATTGCACATCCCCATGACAGCGACTTTGCATTTGGATGTCATCCATATCAACTTTCGATGCCAGTTTCTGCACCTACCATGGTGACCACAGGTAACGGGGAATCAGGATTCCATTCCATACAGGGACCCTGAGAAATGGCTACCACATGCAAGGAAGGCAGCAGGTGTGCAAATGACTCACTCCCGACACGGGAAGGTAGTGACGACAAATAACCATACAGGACTCTTTAGAGGCCCTGTAATTGTAATGAGTCCACTTGAAATCCTTTAATTCTGATCAATTGGAGGGAAGTCTGGTGCAAAGCCACTGACCCGTGCGTGCTGCAGCTGAAACTCCACTGTCCCATGCTGCTGCTCGCACAGTCTCATGAGGCGGTGAGCAGGAAGACCGAAGTTACAATGCAGCGCAGACATTCGAGCAGCAGCAGGGTGACAACGCCAAAAGCGCGCACAGCTGCTACAGTGAATGTCACATCCTGTTCCAAGTTGCAGATCAGTCTGGTGATGGCTTCTGGTATCCAGTACTCTTTTTACTGAAGCGGCATCAGGGTCCTGGTATGTGGCCGCACAAACGCTGGTGCTCAACACCAGGGGGCGTGCGATTACCCTGCACCAGACCCTGCTAATTCATTCCGCACTGTGACTCCTAACTTCAACATCAGTCATACTGGGTCCCGGTCGTCCGACCGCCACCCAGACAGTGTCCTGGTCACCGGACTGCCCACCTGACTGTGAAACTACGACTGGACCGTTAAATCTGGTATGAACCAGAACTTTGCAGTTCGGGTTCGCTTAACTCTATTATGGATCCTTTGATCGCTACATGTATTTCTTGGATAACTGGTAATTCTCAAGCTAATACATACCGATGAGCACTAGGGGACAGCCGCTCCGCTTTTGCACCCTGCTCCCTCTTATGCTGTGCTGGTGCCTCTGTGCGACACGCGCCTCTTTCTCCAAACTGCACATGTCACTCGCATGACCTTGATTCCATGTGGGTTCTAGGACCTCACCATCCTCCACATCTTCCACCCACTCCTCAACCCTGCCCTCCTTGCCAGTATGCACACTGCAGAAAGCCACAGCAGTTGGAACCTGTGTTTTTCCAGCATGTAAAGTCTGCAAAGGACATATGGAAATTGTTTTAGAATTGTATCCAGGCAACAGTTTTCCCTATAAACTGACCTCTCAGTTTGACTTGTGAGGGTATTGCCCCAGAATTACAAAATTGTTTAGTACCTCTTAGCTATTGATAATTGGTTTAAATATAGCAGCTTGTTATCTGGTAGTTTCTAGTGTAGAAAATATCAATCTGTTTTCTATCACTTAGATCTGTGTAACAAGTGTTATAGGTGTGAAACAATATTACAAGTGACCGATGTAGTAAATTTGAATCAAAGTTCCATTTGCAAAAAAATTCTCGCCGATCTTCTGTGGGTTATTGCCATTTTTAAGATGTAGACTTATTGTATCACACTAGCCATGCACAGCCGGTGAGGGCTGGCAGCCTTAGGCCTGGGGGGCAAAACCAGTCAAGTGGCCCATTGCACCACCAAATCAGTTCACCATCCATGCCCACCTTTTCCTGGTTTTATAACGGATATTGATGTTATGCTAATCAGTAGCTCTTTGCTATACCCGCTCCTTCACGGCTCTGACTTCACCAGCGAATTGTTTAAAATGAATAGGCTGGTGTACCCAACTTGTGAGCTGTGTTGGCCGCCGGGCGACTCTGTTGTCATGGCACCCTGCATGACCGCACAGTTTGCACACCCCAACGGCTGGCCCTGCTGATACACACTGATGTTACTACTTAGAAATCCCTCAATATTAATACAGACATCAGAGTAAATACCAATAAACTGTGGAAACAGAGCTGATCCCCCCAAATTTATAAAGATTTGCTTAGTGGATTTGTTGTACGATTAAATCATGCCTCCTCCTCCCTCTCTCCCATGCGCTGCTCTGTAGGCTGGGAGGAAGTGAAGAGTAATCACATTCTCCCAGCACAGTGCCACCTGTGGCTGCATGGGGAACAGCTGTTTAATGTAATGCTTGCAGAACGGCCAGCTGCCGCAGAACCACTTTGTTCCCGTCTCTGCAAAGGGCTCCAGGCACTGCTTGTTGTGAGTGTGAGCCACTGTAAATTAGGGGCAGAGGGCACTTGCACTGCGGTAAAGACAGGTCTGGGCAGGAGGAGAGTTCAGTGCAATCAGTGCACTCCCCTCCATGGACGTAGGAACCGGGGGGATGGGGGGAACGCATCCCCACCAGCAAATCATGCGGGGGGGACAGGTTATGGGGAAATCCCCCCCAGCTTTGCTGGCCCCCCCATGCTGCAGCCGCCTGAGCGCTCTGCAGAGAGCCTCAGGTGGCTGCAGCTTTGCCCGGGCGGTGCGTCCATGAGGGCGGACTGCACCGCCCGGGTACAGCCTGAGGAGAAGGGCTGACAGGAGGGAAGCGCTCAGCTCTCCCTCCTGTCACTCCCTCTCTGTAGCGTGGCCGAGCCCTCTATTGGTCCGCGGGTACAGGGAGCATCTGTCTCTTGTACCCGGCCGGACTAACAGGAAGTGCACACTGAGTGTGCACTTCCTGTTAGTCCGGCCGGGTACAGGAAACAAAAGCTCCCTGTACCCGCGGACCATGATACAGGGTTCGGCCACGCTACAGCAAAGGTGGGGGGGAGGAATTGACAGGGAGGGAGGAGGAGAAAGAGAGTGACAAGGGAGGGGGGGAGGGGAGAAAGAGAGTGACAAGGGAGGGGGAGAAAGAGAGTGACATGGGAGGGGAGAGAAAGAGAATGACAAGGGGGAGGAGGGGGGGAGAAAGAGAATGACAAGGAGGGGGGAGAAAGAGAACGTGACAAGGGAGGGGGAGAAAGAGAGTGACAAGGGAGGGAGGGAGAAAGAGAGTGACAAGGGAGGGAGGGAGGGGGAGAAAAGAGTGACAAAGGGAGGGACAAGGGAGGGAGGGGAGAAAGAGAGTGAGGAGGGAAGGGGGGAGAAGAGAGTGGACGGGAGGGAGAGGGAGGGGGAGAAAGAGAGTGACAAGGGAGGAGGAAATGACAAGGGATGGAGGGGGAGAAAGAGTGACAAGGAGGGAAGGAGGGGAGAAAGAGAGTGACGGCGGGAGGGAGGGGAGAAAAAGAGAGTGACAAGGGAGGGAGGAGGGAAAAGTGACAAGGAGGGAGGGGGGAGAAAGAGAGTGACAAGGGAGGGAGGGGAGAAAGAGAGTGACAAGGAGGGAGAGAGGGCGAGAGTGACAAGGGAGGAGAGAGGGGGAGAAAGAGAGTGGGGAGGGAGGGAGGGGGAGAAAGAGTGACAAGGGAGGGAGGGAGGGGGAGAAAGAGAGTGACAAGGGAGGGAGGAAGGGGGAGAAAGAGAGTGACAAGGGAGGGTGAGAGATTGACATCCATCTCACACACACACACACACACACAATCGCACAATCATGCAAACCTTACACACACAGAAACACACAATGCATTCCGTACACACCCTCAATTCACCCCTTACAGACGCACACACTGCATCCCGTACATACACTGAAACACACCTTGCAGCCCTTAAACATACAAACACAGATTCACACAATGCATTCCTTACACACATATCAGGACATCCCCTAAACATTCCACCCCCTGTGAACAAACTCATTGGTGGAACATGAAGGTGGACCCTGGGACCCAGACCTTGAGCTGTGTAAAGGGCCCCCAAAAAATTTAGCTGCTTCCTGTTCTCCCAGAATATTGATTTTTGTGACCACAGTTACAAACAGCCTCCAGAGAGCCTGTTCTACACCAGACTGCAGCTAGAGCCCATCATCATCCTCATCTGGTTGTAAGTAGGCAATCTAGTATATTATTCGTGGCACTAATCTCTAATTTACCTCACATTAAAGAAACACTGTAGAAGGGGGGACAAAGGTAGAAAAATAATTGGAAGGGTTTAGGGAGGGGCTACTAATATGGATGGGGGGAGGGGTAGGTAGAAAAATAATTGGAAAGGGTTAGGGGGGCTACTAATAAGGATAGGGGGAGAGGGATAGGTAGAAAAATAATTGGAAGGGTTTAGGGGGGCTACTAATATGGATGGGAGGAGGGGGGAGGTAGAAAATTTATGGAAGGGGTTAGGGGAGTACTAATATGAATGGAAGGGGTAGGGTGGGTTCTAATATGCATGGAAGGGGTTAGTGGGTACTAATATGCATGGAAGGGGTAGGGGGGTTAATATGCGTGGAAGGGGTAGGTGGGGTTCTTCTGTGCATGGAAGGGGTAGGGGTGGTTCTAATATTCATGGGAGGGGTAGGGGTGGTTCTAATATTCATGGAAGGGGTAGGTGGTGTTCTAATATAAATGGAAGGGGTAGAATGTATGGAATGCATTTCTGACAGTGTCACTGAATGACAGTTAGGAAATGTGGTCACCCTAAGTCAGGGGCAGTATTACACAATCTGTATGTGTATAAAAAAATATAAAAAGTAATCTGCAAAGTACAAAATGTTTGTCATATGTCGTGCTAAAAATTAAGCTGGGAATGTGCATATTTTTTTATTTTTTTTAAATCATTTTTAGAATAATGATACAGACATTTTATTTCTTACATTTGTGATGATTCTTTTTTCCTCTCTATACTCAAGGGACACTATAGTCACCAGAACCACAAAAGCTAAACGTAATAGTTCTGATGTCTATAGCATGTCTTTGCAGGCTTTTTAATGTAAGCACAGCCATTTTGTAAAAAGGCAGTATTTACATTACTGATGAGGAATACCTCTAGTGGACACTCAGATGGCCACTAGAGGTGCTTCCTAGTCGAGACATGAATGCCGCCCTATGAAGTATCTGTGCATGTGCGGCAAAGCTGTGCATGCGCACCAGAGAGCAATGACGCTTCTGAATAGAAGTGTTTTATTGCTCGCTGCTCGCACCCTCCTATTAAGTCATTTTGACGAAATAGGGGGCGCGGCATCAGGAGGATCCCAGTAAGTATCCAGGTAAGTAAAATCCCTTCCCTGTAGTGACCCTTTAAAGTTATTATTTAATCATTTATATAGCGACTGCAAATTCCGTAGCGCTGTACAATGGGATAAACAACTCCTAGTTTACGGAATAAGAATATACCCGGCGAGTAAAAATGCTATCCCCCCCAGATTTTTTTGGGTTCCTACGCCCATGCTCCCCTCCCGTGGGTCACCAGTAGACTG